ATCAAATTACTAGTGGTTATTAAGAAAAATGGCTATGAATAGAATTAGAATTACTATGAAGAAGTAGTTTAGAAATCTCACGATATTAACCTTTTTATCCATTTCTGTTTTGATAATTGAGCTATGGGTCTGGTAATAATCACTGAGATAGGTCCTCTTTTCATACTACATAAAAATAGCCCTTAATTGTGGAACTTGACAAACATTCTTCCCCAAATGGACAAGAAACTCATTTCTCTTAAGCAAAGGAACTTGCCAATAAATGGGAAGTTCTCTTTGTTCTACAGCCCTGTCAGCAGCACATCATCTCTTATGTCAAAAGCCTACTGAGATAAATTAGTTTAGAGGATTTATATGAATCTATGAATCATGTTTTTGAGAAATAAAAAGTGTCCTTGCATGTAAGTAACATAAAAGAAATATAATTCTTATAGATAATCCAACCCCCCCCCCCTCCATGTATAAGGAAAGTGCTGAAGAATCATATTTTTGTTACAGGTTCACTTCAAGCATATTTGAGAGGGTATTCTTTTCATTATCTGAAGCCTAATACTGTAATGGTGTCCCAGAAATTATGTACAAAGCTTTGCTGCTGTACTTTTTTAATGCATAATGTATTAATTATTAAAAGCATATTAGATTAGGGTTTCACAGGATATTGACTATTAAGTGACATAATCTGAAACTGCTGGCCAGGACTTCCTGAGTATTAACTTTGTGTGCCACAAACTGTATAATTCTGAGCTGATTCCCTATACTTAATTTGTGATGCTTTAGCTTACACTGAGAAACACTTCTACCTACCAAACAGACTTGTTCATTTCCATAAATATAAATTGTATGAAGAAGTACTGGAAGTAAATAGTAACAGGATTCAGCCTGCACTCCCCCTCTTTCAGTCATAGAAGGTGTTGGTGGATGGTCTTGTGCAAAGCAATAGAACAATAATTTAAAGAACTTACAAAGTACTCTTTTTTTCTTCTTAAGTTTTAACTGTTAAGGCTGAAGTTTATATATCCTCAGAGTGAAAATGACTTATTATTACCTAGCTTGTAGAACCATGGTCTCACTTAGAGAGAAATCTAAGCCCTCAGATGGTCTGTAGAAAATCTGGGATTTGACAGTATAAATGCTAAAAAATAGTGTTAATGATGGCACTACAGGAGAATTTCAACTTTAACCCGAAGTATTTAAGTTTTGATAATCTCAGAAGTCAAGATTGTTCAATTCTTGGGAAAAGTCAGTAGATCAGTACAAATAATCTTGTATTCTGTGGGCTGTGTGGTTCACTGACAGAGTCCTAAAGAGATGACCTAATTTTTCAAATAGAAAAGTCTTTATGGCATTAACTGAACCTGGAAGTGCTCACCACTTTGGAAAAACAGGTCACATAGCAATTTAATGTGCACTCAGGAGTTTGATTCTAGATGCTTGGTCTTTTAAATATTCATTGTGCTAGTCTTAATACATAGATGCCTAGGGAGTGATGTATGCATTGCAGTGAAAAATGCAGCAAACATATAAATTAGTAAGTACTGAACAGATCAAGTCCATTTCTGAAAAACAAACTGATCTGCACTGCTGCCTGCACAGGTGTCCTTCAGGAAAAGCAGAATGGATTAGCAAAGGAAAAAAAAATGAAGCTTCCTTCACTGTGACAGTTGCCATTTGAGTGCTTCTCTGCTCGTGCTAATGTTCTTGAGTGGAATCTGTTGAAGGAGCAGTTTGTCAATCTACAGAAAGAAGACATAAATTGACAATTATATACACAAAAGGCTAGATAATAGCTGAACAGCTTTTATTGCTATGTGGTTTAAACTTTTCCAAAGTGGAAATTAAAAAGTAGTAATCCATCCATACCTAATAGCAGTTTGGACTGATACAATACTGTTTTGCATAAGTATTTGCTAATTAGTTAAAAAAACATGCAGTAGGTATTAAGCGTGGGTAATAATGCTTTGCCTGTTTCTCAAGAACGTGTTGGATATTAATTATATTCTCAAAACCACACTGCAGCTAATAAGTACTAAGCATTATTATTGTGAATTGGTTTCATTTAGTATGTAAAACTGCTGGAATTGCATAAGTCTTTAAACACTTTATGAATATTTCATCAATGTTCATGCCTGATGTGCCCTCCATTAACAGTCATTTGAAAACATATTTATATGTACAGTGTATAGACTGCAATTTATCATTTCTGTTGCTGGGGAGGAGAACTTGAACTGACCTCAGACCTCTTGGCAGATCTTCTGAGCTTTAGCTTTTTACTGAGATTCTTCTGAGCCCTATTTTCATATGCAACTCTTTTTCTCTTGCCATGGTGTAAACTGTAAATGTAAATGATCATAGCAAAGCCCTGCATTTTAGATAAAATTTTGATTCTTTCTCTCATTTTTTTATGTCTCAGTAGACTTCAGTGGGATGTCAGAGTATCAGTAAATGGGTTTTTGGAGAATAAGGCTCTGTGATTCCAAAGAAATATTAGTCATCAATCAAAAAGAGTCTGTGAAGCAGTAATTTGAATTTATAACATCGAAAATAATTTGAAAATTATTTTATAGTTATAAAGCCAGAACACAATGGTAGCAGGGATCCTTTTAAAAACAAGCTGTTCCATCAGGTGTATGTAAGCAGGCTACCAACTATTCATATTGCCAAGAGGTGAAAGAATTTCTCTTAAAAACTTAATCTTAGCAACAGGAAATTTCAGAAGGTGTGAAAAGTCTGGGCTTTTCATCAATCAGAATATGACTTTGAGTTATAGCTTTGTCATGCAGCTAAGAAAAAAGGAAAATCTAATCATAGACCATATCAGGCAACGAATTACCAGTATTGTATTGCTGAACTCTCATCCAGAATACCTTACCCATCTAGTCAGCCTTATTCAGAGAGATGAATTCTCACCACAGCAGGGGTGGGAAAAGGGGATTTAACATAACCATGGCAATTTTACCTCGAGACAGGAACCGAATATCTGAGTTGTGAGTGCCAGGAGCCCTTCCATCCAGGAGGGCTGCTGGTGTCCTGCGGTTTATCAGGAAGAGCTTTGCCAGCAGATCAAGGGAGGTGATCCCGCCCATCTTCTCACCCTTAGTGAGGCCACATCCAGAGTTCTCTGTCCAGCTGTGCGCTCCTCAGTACAAGAGAGACGGTCAGCTACTGGTGAGGGTCCAGCAAATGCCTACAAAGATGATGAGGGGTCTGGAGCATCTCAGCTGTGAGAAGAGATTAAGGGACCTGGGCATGTTTAGACTTGAGAAGACTGAGAGGAGATCTCATCAGTCCATATAAATATCCCATAAGATGGGTGCCAAGAGGATGGGGATGGCCCCAGACTCTTTGCAGTGGTGCCCAGCAACAGGACAAGGAGCAACGGCCATAAACTAAAACACAAGAATTTTCACCTCAGCAGGACAAAGAACTTCTTTACACTGAGGAAGTCAAAGCACTGGAACTGGCTCCTCAGGGAGGTTGTAGAGTCTCCCTCTCTGGAGACATTCCAAACCCACCTGGACAAATTCCTGTGTTGCCTGCTCCAGATCACCCTGAACTGTGGGGGTGGTTGGACTAGATGATCTCCTAGGAAGGGACTAGAGGTCCCCTCCAACCCTAACCATTCTGTGGTATCCTGGGAATATAATGTCCTGGAAATAAAATCCTGGAAACTGCAGAGTGCAAGTGTGCAAGTGGAGTTGGTCCAACCACCATTACACAAAGTAAAAAGAAATGTTACTTTTAAATCAAAAGGATATTAATTTGCTATAAGAAAGCCAGAACTTGTTGAGCAGTCTATCAAGTAATGTTCTGGACTTGGTTTTCAGTGGGATTTGAGGGAAAAGTTTGGAGAAATAGCTTGTGTTCTCTCATGACCCCTAATTGCAAAGATGAGAGTTCATTAACAAAGATGGACTTCGCTCCTTCATGGTATGTTCCCTGGTATAAAAGACCACTTAAGACACTGGCTTACAAAGCTAGAAAAATGTGTTGAGGCAGATTACTTGGTGATTCTCTTGCCCTAAAAGGGAAATGGATATGGTGTGCTTATTTTTGAGTTTTTGCCATGTTAGAAAATCAGTAAGGGTAAAGGTACATGTTCATTAAACTTTATCTAGAGCAGTGACTATGTTAGCATATCAGTCCCTGTGGTAGACCCTTTATATTGCTTTGGAACTTGAAAAATTCCAAAGGTACAAGTTAAAGCAGGCCCCTGACTTAATCCCTGGTATTTGTTGAAAGCTAATAAATAAAATTCTGTTTTGTTGACTTTTCATTATAAAAGATGCTGCTGAAGGAAATAATGATACCCAGCCTTTTGAAATAAATGTTTCAAGAACCAGCCTGCCTCTGATATTGCTTAAAACCTTTGGTCCTTAATACCTTAGTGAAAACTTGGACAATATATTGGTCGTCAGAACAAAAATTTCTCTGAGGTTCTAATCCATCTGAACCAATCTGGACATGCTGTACCCAACTGCCAGCTCCCAAAATGAATTCAGATCAGATGGGTCATGTGAAGGTGGTCAGCTATCACCCAGCTGATATGGCTGGTATGCAGAGCTTTATCCTGGATGTTAGTAATCCTCCCTTTCCACATACTACCTTTAGTTCCACACCTGAATCACAGTCTTGTGACCATGGATGAGGGCTATCCAGCACCTTCTAAAGCACTAAAAAGCACCTTTTAGGTTTATGGTGCTTTGGTATCAAGAGCATCCAGCAAAAAAAAAACCCTCCATTATTAATTCTTCCACACATGTGTAAATGTGCCCAGAAGCATGCAGGGGGTACAGCCTCAGCGTTTGGCTGAGCAAAGCCGCACTCCTTTGGACTGGAGGACTTTTCCTTTGTGAAATGTGCCTCACACCCTTCCTGGTCCCCAGTGCTGTGACCATCTCACTCCATGCTTGTGCATCTCACTTCTTACAGCTTGTGCAGCAGTTTGTTCAGGGTTATTTCACTCACTTCCTTTTCTTGTTTTTATTTTTTGCCTCTTGCAGATGGACAAAAGAGGAAGAAGTCATTAAGAAAGAAACTGGACTCTTTAGGAAAGGAGAAGAACAGAGACAAAGGTAAAATGAGTACATATTTAGTGATCAAGTCTTAGTTTTGCATATGAGATTTCTTCAGTCTGATACATACTTTTTAAAGTACAATGTTGTTGAGCTGATATACTGTCTAGGTATTTATTTGCTAGCTGAAAAATATGTTTTATCTTATCTGCTTAACTGTAGTATAGCTAAGATCTCTTCAACTGAAAGATTTTGGTTTGTTGTTTTTCCCCTGAGGAAAAAAAGGAAGACTTAAAGGACTGCATCTTTTCTCCGGTGTTCTTTCTCCTCATCTTCACCATTGAGTGCAGAATGTGGTTTGTACAACATGATCCAGTTCTTTACCTGCATTTGTACTCTCAATTTACAAAGCACATAAACCCAGCACTGCCCAAACAAGTCAGTTGGCATGCTTTTCGGTCTTTAACCTTAGGAAAATAGCCATTGTTTAAAATATATAAATGCTTCAGTGCTGCTGATCAGTTGGATTTTAATAAACTCCATGTGACATGGATTTACAGATATGGTTGTACTCTTTTGTTTGGACACTAATCAGCTTTATGGGCTGGATCCTAATCCAAGACCTGAAGTTGACCTGTAATTCGGAGCCATTTGAATTAAGTCTAAATACTGTGACACTGGAAAGTATCTGTGAAATTGCGTGTAGGTAATTGTGCATGTATTTTTGTGTTCATGTCTGGAAAAATGGTTGTAAAATTTGGTATTGATACCCCAGTTTCACAAACAGGCACACAAATGCAGGAATTTGTGACAGAAGTGACCTGATTACTTCACTTTTAGTCTAGTTCAGCAGAAGAATGGAACTTTGAAATTCCACTGAAAAAATTAACATCCCCATTTCCAAGTTAGATAGCTGTCAAGAAGAAAATATTTTTATTTTAATTTAAATTTGTTTGATAACTTAAAATATGTGATTATTATTTTCTTGATTTAAAATTGGTTATGGAAAATATTTGTATTAATCTTTTAAAAACTGAATTTGCCCTGACACACTGGTTTGATATATCCAGTGCTTCCTGTATTATTACATTGCAAGTACCAAACTTTTCATTTGTTACAGGAATTACTTGATATTTGTCTTGAGGCCACATGCAGGAGGAATCATTAAGGAAGAGATTTAATGATTTTACAGCCACGTTTGGAGGAAAACCTTTTTTGCACTGTCCTATTAGTGCATTATATTTGATTACATTGTAATTAGTCAGTCATTAAATTGCTATATTTTCTTCTGTAGTTATTCATGCAGATAAGAGTGCAAAGCAACTCTTAGTTCTGTGCAAAACCTGCCCTGCTTTTCAGTGTGTTTGCCAGATATTGATCTTCATAGGGCCTGTGAGATGCTCTTCTGCATCAGAAAAGGTCAACCACATCCTGCTTTTTAAAATTTTTGGTGTACTGAGAGCTTTCATGTTTCCTCCCTTAGGGGTACCGTGACTTCAGTAGTCTCTGTTGGAAGTTGCTCTTTAGAAGTTCTTTTGAGAGTTAAAATACATTTTGGCTTTTTTTTCCTCAGATTTTTTCATTACTCATTATTCATTGTAGCAGATTTTAACAATGATAAATTGCTTTGATAATTCACCAAAGCCAGAATTTCACTGTGTCACACAAACTTGGTAGATCTTCACAGCTGCACTCTCAGAACTCCACCAATGCTCTTTGGTGCAGTGCCTTGAGAAGTGAGAGTGTCCTTTTGGTGATGGATGCAAATCCTTGACCCAGAGCTGGTCTTTATTCCACTAAATTCTCTATTGCCAATGATCTTTCAAACAATATTTTTTCTTATATTGCCTTGCATTCTTTTGTATTACTCAGCTGCACTGGTTGAGCACTTCAAGATAATATTATTTTCTGCTACTACACTTCTGTCTACCTTGTGTGATAGCATTTATACTCCATTCAGTCAGTAGGTTTGGGGATGTACTTGATTTTTATTCTGAGTGTACTTTAACCCTTTAGGGCTCACTAGTTGCCACAGTGAAGGGCAGCACTTTGTAGTTATTCATCATACTTACTCATTGTTGTTTAAATTTATCTACTTCCTGGTTTTCAGCTTTCCTCATCTATCTATCTGGTCAACTATACCAAGCATTTTTAGAAATCAGTATGCTGATTCTCCTAATTTTAATTCCTTTTTTCTTACTATTATTGGAAATTCAGATGTTTCAAACATATACCCACCTGCTTTTTACCCTTTTTCTCCCATCACTCACTGTCCTATTCTGAGTTACAGATATGTTTTACATGCACTCCCTACTTATAAAATATCATGGGTGCACCCTCTCAGAGGAAAATACCCCAGCACTTCTCAAACTGTAGAATCTGTATTTCTCTCCTTCCTTTAGGGAAAACTTGGGCTGGTGAGTAAGGGTCCAGGAAATTGGAAGGAGTAACATTCTGAACAGGTTGTGTTAGCGGAGGGAAAAGAAGGCATATCTGCTCTTAGTAATTGCCAACAGCAAACGTTAGGCAAAAATAGCCCAAATAGCAGCATATGGCATCTTACTTGTCAGGTTTTCTGGCCATGGTTGGTTCTGGTGTACTTTTTTCTCTGCCCTTCTGAGTTATTAAAGATCATTTTCCACTCAGGTACTTCCTGAGCAGACTCTTAATGCATTACAGCAGAGGGAATGAACAATCAGGACTGCTGGTTTGTGTCGTGGGGGCCATCAGCCTGGCACAGTGGTTGAAAGGTGTCTGTTTTGCTGTGGGAAGCAGTGACACCAGCATCTCCTCCAGCCTCAGGAGTTAGGGGGGACAGTATTGCCCAGCTTTCAGCTGATGGTCTCCATAAGGATGAGCCTGCTGTGCTCACTTCAGAATTGAGCCCCACCACCTTCCCTGAACAGTGGCCTCCACGTCACCTGAAGTCAGAGTTAACCTCCCTCGACATGCCTTTCACAGCAAGCTTGTTCTCTAAAGGAAGTGTTTTCCATTTCTGGGCAGCCAGTCCAAGACAAACAGTCCTCACTGTGAGCATGGATGTGCTACACAAAAGGCTGGGAGCACACACCCACCCAGGCAGGCCCCTAGTCCTCATGCCTGAAAGGAATGCCTTCCTTCTGTTTATTTTGGGGGGTTTGTGGTGGGTTTTTTTCAGTAACTAGTCCAGCTGTGCTGTTAGAAGAAAATTAGCAAGACCAGGCCACAGGACATCGGAGGGGAAGCAGGGAAGCTGATTACCAGACACTTCATATGGAGGAGATGCAGCTGCCTTGATACAGACTTAATTTCCATCCCTTCAGCATCACTTTTGTAAACACAGTTGCAGTTGGGAGAGTAATTAATTCCAAACATTTTGTGTTTCCTCTATCCCAGCCTGGGAGCCCCCAGATGCCCAGACAAGTAACAGCTGAGGGGACCATGTTGTTGGTCCTGCCCAGAGTATGTGCCACCTGAAATCCTCCTTTTGTTAAAACAGACTCCTGGAGGTTAATCCTGACAATCATGCAGCACTGTGTGATCATGTGTGGGTTGCAATCAAGGATAGCAGGGATGTGCCTGGCACAGGAGGGCACAGAGGAGGAAGGAAAGGGCCACCATGGGATGCACAATGGGGGCCTCACTACAGCTCTTGCCTGACAAACCCTCTCCTTTAGCACCGATGTGCACTGAACTGCCCCATGGTGCAGGTTTCTAGGGTTACTCTCTCTGAAGAGCTGCCACCTCTGTCAAATTTGTGCCCCAGACTATTCTCCCCCACCCACCCCACCAGGGATCTATACTTAAAGGCATAATCAAAAGGAATGATACTTTTTCTGGGACGGTTTGGACATTTAATAACTTGTATTTTGAGATTCAGTCCAATCTATGGAGTTTTTGCTGTCAAAACTTTACATTTTATCTAGATGGATCAGTCAACCTGTCTGTTGAGTGAGAGTTTCAGCAACCTGTCAGACTTCTGAAGGCCAATACAGACACTACTGTAGAATTTAATGTACTTAAAATGACTTTGTCCTTTTTTTATACCTGTCGACATCTCGTTAAAAGGGGAGAAATCGTAAAAGTGATTTTTCAATTGCTATTACATCTCTGATATAGCAAAACTTGCTGGATGTAAACAGACTAAACAGGAGAACAGCACTCCACCCAGACATTTAAGCAGTATTTTCAGCTTCCATCATTCAAGTGTTTTTGCTTTACCCAGCCTCCTTGTTATTAATGGCCATCATGACCCTCGATCCTACTGTCTACAAGTGTCTCCAAACATTGGCTTTGGCTGCAGACAAACAGTTCTCTGGCTGAAGGAGCAGTAAATGTCTGTGCTGCTTGGATGCTGTGCATACTGGCAGCTGGATATTGTTTCCTTACAAATTCAGTACTAATTTTTACAGCAGCAGAAGCAGAGTCTCTTGCCATCCCTTGCCAGTGATATGGGTGTCAGCGTAAGCAGGCCTACTTCTAAAGTACACACAGGCATTCCTGAGAGAGATGCCTCCCAGAAATTACTTGTCCTAGAAGATTTTATCAGTAAACCAAGTTTGTTTTGCTTTAGTTCCAGAAAACCCTACAGGTTAACAAAGTGACCTGCTCAGAAATAATAATCACTTGTTATGTGATTGCTTGAGTAACTGAGAATCATCCCTTTTGCTGACGTTTCTGCGTGGAATGTAAATACGTAGCAGGTTCATCTGTGAGACCTTAGCAGAGCTGCTGTGTATGCAGGACTTCTGAGAGAGGCCTTCCTGGTAACTCTGTGGCATATGCAAATGCAGCAGATGATCGATTTCTCTTTAGTTCAAAATTCTTGGAAATGTCTTTTCTGTTTACTTCCTATTCATGCTCATTAAATTAAGGTGTATTAATTAATATTTGCATTTGTTCTCAGTAATTCAGCCTATCGTGGTGTCTGTGTGCCTTGGCACAGCCTAAGGAGGGAGCTGAAAAAATGAAGTTTCTTTTTTTTATTGTAGTTTATCAGAAATTAGGTTTTATTAAAAGCCTTTCCACTGCCCTACCATGCCTCTATAAAAAATTTTGAATATGTTTCTCATGTTCTCTAGGCATAAAAAAAGGGTATTTTAAATCAATATTGTGTCGTATTTTATACTAAAGTCAAGTAAAGTATCAAATAATCTCTTTAATTTTTTTGTAAAAAAACCCCACACCTGCTCCCAGAAAAAATCATAAGTAATTGGGAGAGCCTTATATCACTCCTTGAAGGTCAGTGAGCTCTGAGTAGCTGGAGAAGGCATTTTCAGCCACAGAAGTGATGCTGAGAACATTGTCTTATCTCAGATCTCCTGGAGTCACTGCGGGTTTTGAAGAACCTTGAGATGGAAGAAGTTTTGCAGTTCCCATTATGGACGGAGGTTTCTGTTTTCCTTGTTTTCTGCTTCCATCACTGTCTCTACAGATCTGAAATAATTGACTTCAGTTCGCAAACAGAGTTACCCTGTCTGGCTAGCTGGGGAGATTGACTTAAAGACCCCATTTAAATATCCCTTTAAAAGCATATTATTCTCTGATCTCTATTCCTGTCATTTAAATAGGTGTGGTACAAGCACCTTAGTAAATATGGGTCACAGGATTTTAGCAACCCAAAACCAGCATTTATGATGTACTTCAGAAAAAAACTCCGAATCTAAGGATACTAACCATAGTTACTTTTCACTTTATTAGTATTGAAAGACTCATTAGAATCTACAATATAGACCTCACTGGTTCCTAACAGACTGTTATGTTCTGTGGGATGGAAAGCAGTTTTCACCAGCTGAAATTTCAGAGAAGTCTTTTAAACTGTATTTGAACAGGGTGACATGAGGTCAAGTAAGCTATAGCCATGTGGCTCAACATCCTGAATATTATCATTTGATTAGCAAAAAGGAGGATTTGGGATCATGGAAACTCTTATTTGATCTGGCTGGGAATATTTCTGTGACATGCTGCTTTTTATTAGAAAACGATGATTTACCACCAAAGAAAGGTTTCTTAGGAACATATCATTTTCAGTCAAAATTTTGTTAAGAAATTTGCCTCAGCTGCAAGATTGACTTTGTGGTAAGAGAAATTATGCACTTCTCCAAAGCAGTAAATTGTCTCTTTTGTCAGTAAACACTGAAAACTGGAGTGTATTAAAAGTGGTGCTGCCTAAGGATGAGTCTGTTTCCAAGCTGATTGCCCAGTCTGCCAGGTTGTTTCACATTTTTACATGATGCTTTCTGCAAAATGTCTTTTTAAGCTGCCTAGTCTCCTCATTGAAAAAGTGATCAATTTTTTGTTGAGTTTACAGAAAATAACTAACTTAGTAACTTTGGCACTCTGTATGGATACAACAGACCAAGGTCTGAGCCACTGCTTTAAGGTACATTTCTTCCTTAATGAATGTTCATTAATGCTGAGGTTTCAGTAAATCCTCTCAGATGGAGGGGATTCCCAACCTACAGCTGTAAAAAGTCACTTGTCCTTTTACCTTCCTTGTGAGACAAGAACCTCAAACCTACACATCTTGTGACTTGAATCAGTGCCCTTTCTCTCCCATCTATGGGTTGCTAATTACTTCACCTGAGTGCAGCTTTTCTTTTTTAATGAATATGGAATGTCAGAAGGTCTAACATTCACTCTGATTACCTGTCCAACAAGGAAGTTGTTAGGATTGAACACTCCTGAAGAATGGGTAGAACATGCTCCCGGCCACCACAGCCCCTGGTGCAAGCTCACACAAATTTTGGTGGGAACTTGAGGCTGTAGGCAGTCTGCAGAGGGGGCAGCTGATTCTCTTAATTTCAACAAATGAGCAAAATGTTACTGGGTTTGCCAACTCTTTAATGTAATTACCACTGCCAGCCAGCACCACTACCATCTGTATTTAGTCTGAAATTCAACCACTTGGTTTTGATCCAGTTCCACATCTCTGCCAGATACTGAGAAATCAAGGAAGCGGTTCATGCCTCTGAGAATGCCTACATCAGAGCAGCCTGGAGCAGAGGCTCATTGTCCTTTCTCTGGCCCACACTGAGCAAGAGCAATTAAAAACCTGGAATCCCACACTGTGAGTTTCCAAGGAAGGGCAACGCCTACGTCAAAATGCCAAAACTTCACATGCTGAAGTAAGAGAGAGGGTCATTTTAATTATTTAATTTAAATAATTTTAACTGCTGATCTTGCCCCAGTTGATGTAGGATCAATAGCACCAGCATGCTGTTGGGCTCATATGAGCTAAATACTGCTGTCCTCTCCCAGTCTGAAGCAGCTCTGAGCCAAACTAGAGAAATATACTGTGTTGGCTTTTCTCAGGAAATGTTGTAGAAAGACAAATAAAATGGAGTGCTGGTGGTACAAGAAAGCACCCAGTTAGACAGCCAGAAGGGGACACATGCATATGTGCATTTCAAATTTGTCATCTTAAATTTTCATTAGGATGATAATTCAGAACAGTCAAAAAATTTTAACATTAGTACTGTCATAATTTTGTAGACACACTCTGCTGAGTACAGGAGGGAAAGGTCTAACTGAATTCCTGCAACTGGCAATCCCCACACTGCTTGGTATCTGTGTGATGATGTTCTTTCTTGTCCTAAATTAAATGCAGATGGGTTTAGGTGTCATTATACTCATAGGTCACCTCCAGAGTTGCACGATATATGAGGCTCTGCTTCCTGATTTAGTTTTGTCTGGCCACCAAAGTAATTCATGTCTTACCATTTCATGCTTCTAAAGAGCAGGAATGTTTCTACCAAATCAGAACAATGGGCTTCTGTTTCTTTAGTGTGACAGACTAGTTGTATCCTCACTGAAGATTCTTAAAATATCCTCTTTTTTCAATTTCTTACTTTAATGCAAATCCAGATACAATTTGGAATTGTAATCAAAGACCTAGGCAGATGTAAAATCCGAGGAGGAATTTTGGCCTTTAATTATTTGCACAATTGTGGCAAAAAAGTATAGTATATAAGAATTTTTCTATGTATTTCTTTTTTATATATATATATATATATATAATTCCTTTTTTGATGCTTAAAAGAAATTTGGTTTTCATCTCTGGTGCTTTATTTATTCCTGATACGAGCAGATCTGAAGCTGGAACCTAGTAGAAGTTGCACTCATTTTCACCAGGGTGAATAGCATCAATAGCTATTTTTTTTTCGTTTCTTTTGAGCACAAACCAGTTTTAGCTGGAATTCTGTCTCAGTGGTTTTACTTCTGCTAATCTCAGATAGATCTGATTTGAAAATCATTGATGAGAATTTCACTGTTGCTGGCTGATCCACTGTAAAACATTTTTCTATTTTGTAAAATATTTAAGCATTTTACTTTAAGACGTGAGATGTGTGCTGGTTTTGTACATTACTGTTATATTGATGTGAGATAGGATTATGGTCTTTTTCTTAATTGAGACAAATATATTCTCCTGTATTTCCATGTGTCCATGCTTTTTTACTTTTACAAAGGAACTTTATACTGATATACCACTATTAAACAGGTTTAATCTTACCAGTATTTAAAACAGTATAGTTCTTTTGTAAATTTAAAACTATATCCTTGGAGGCTTAGTCTGAGTGATGAATGGACTTCAAAGCTCTCTGTACAGGTAGATTCATACTCTCCTGAACTGTAGTGACACCCATGCACATGCCAGGACCCCTTGACTCTGGTGCCCTACAGCATTTATGAGAAAGGAGCCTGGTGAAGGGATCTGAAACACGAGAGAGCGCTTTGGCGCAGTCCAACAAGGCTCCCCAGTCTCAAGATGGTTACCAGAGCTTCTGATGCCCCTCTGCACCACCTTTATGTAACCAGAAGTACCCAACTTCAGTTAGGTTTGGTGGAAAATAACACCTTAATTAGATGTGATCTCAAGTGATTTTCCAAGATTCTGTGCAGTGTGTCTTGCAATATGTGACTAGAAATACGATTCTGATACCATGGGCTACAATTACCTGGCACTGTTGTTATTGAGTCCAGGACTTCATTGGAATTACTAAATATTTAAAGGGACTGCAGATTGTTTTTCTTAACAACATAAGAGTTAATTCTTTTTGTACTAAATAAATATCAGATGTTTGGTAACTATTAGGGGTTTGTTGTTGTTGCAGAATTTATTCCCCAGGCTTTTGGAATGCCTCTGTCTCAAGTGATTGCTAATGACCGGGCCTACAAGCTCAAGCAAGACTCTCAGAGAGAAGAGCAAAAAGATGTTTCAGATTTTGTGGCCTTTCTCTTGCCGTTTGGAGCTAAAAGACAGAACAAAGAACTTTCAAGCAGTAACTCATCTCTCAGCTCAACCTCAGAGACACCGAATGAATCCACTTCTCCTAACACACCTGAGCCAGCACCACGAGCAAGGAGGCGTGTAAGTAGACACATGTCTGTGTGATTGTAGGTCATGAGGGTCTAGCTGGACCAGGAAAAACCTGTTGTGTGTGTGGACTGTGGAATACTTTTTTGTTTGAATAGTGGGTTTTTTTTCAGGTGAAAGTCAGCCTCATCATCATCAGGAAACTCCTACCTATAGTGGGAATCTTCTTTTGCTGATGCTGGTGGGAAGAGATATAGACTCTGCAAGTCTGTAACAAATGGCAAAGAGACAGAGAGATTATCTAAAAGTCTTCCTGTTTGCTCCTTTTATCTGCCTCCTTCTCTCTAAGTCTTTTAGATTTAACAAATTCCATCTGTCTTCAGCCTAATTTTTTCAGCAGACAAAGTCTAAACCTATGTGTTTGATATTTATAGGTATACTTATCTTAATCTAGCTCTAACCTGATAATAAGTCTGACTATTAATCCCTATCCTTATATTAATAAAAATCCTCATGGTCTAACCCATATCAAATCCTCCATGGTAAGTAAGGAGTTGTCAGACTGGATTTGCACCAGGGTCTTTGAAGGATGTTTCTGCATGCATGCAGGCTATGAAGTTGCCTTTGACAGCAAAACACAGAGTAGTGGGTTTGGGTTGAATATTAATCTACATGTAAAATCGTTCATTTTTTTAGCATAAATCTGTTCCTTGGGAGTAAATGTTATGCTCTGAATGTTCCAGTTCTACAGTTAGTTATTTTTTTTCTTTTGTTACCGTGGAATAGAGGTTCCAGATTTGGCTGCTTTTTTATTTCATTTACAATGGAGGGAGAAGAAAACTGCTTGATAAAATACTTTGAACAAACCCCTTTTAAGAAATCTGAGCAAGAATTGAGGCACAAGAACTGACTCTGGAAAAGAAAGTATTTTCTTAAGACCCTCAACTTCTTTCATCTTTTGGATAAAACCTGCTTCATAGAAATTCTCTGTTGAGCCCTTCAAACCAGAGTTTAAGAGGTCTAGAACTGGAGTAAGTTGCAGATTGAGAGAAGTCAGAAGGCAGGTCATGGGGCTCTTTGTTTGCCTAGCTGTCAGCTGAAGCTTGAAGTGTCTATATTCTGTCTGCAAAACTGACAGCATGATGTTTGCAGTCTTGTATATGCATTAATGCACATGTGTTGGTCTGTGCAAACCATATGAACAGGCATTTGTGTTCACACAGAAGTGAAAATTAACTTGACTTAGTGTAAAGGGAAACTCATGAACTTCTTTCAGAATTTGGCAGTCAGTGACAAAAAAAATAAAAGTTCACTGTACATACTCATTGGCTTCAGAACCCTTTTTTCATAGGAGAGAAAAAACTCGTGTGTCCAGAGGTGAGTCATCTGCTGTTCTTTTCACAAAGTGTGGTAAGATTTCTGACATGCATTTGACCAGCGAGCAAGCAGAAGAACAATTATCCTTTAGTACATCCATAGAGATCATCAGGACCAAGTTCCTAGAAGCTGAGGGAGGGTTTTGCTTGTTTTGTTTGTTTGGATAGTTGGTTGCTTTTAGGGTTTTGGGTTTTTTTTGTCAATCCTGGCATTGCAGCTTTCAGAGTGCAGAATTGGAGCCCTTAGTCCATAGCCATGAGGATGCACTAGGACATTGTTCACCTACAGAGAATAAGAGTAGACTAAGCTGGGCAGTATGGCATGAGGGAGCTGGCATTTTTTCTAGGGAATGAACTTAGCTAATGAATTATTTAAATCAACTATTTAACATTAATATTTTATATATATTATCATATATTTAACAATATTATAGTCTATATTATGATATTTAACATTAATATCAACTCATGTCCCATATCTTGTCTGTCTTTATAATTCTGTTTATCAGTGCACTTACTCCTCTGCCCTAAGCTTATTTAGGGGATGGTAAGGAAGCCTGCACTTGCCTTTTATCTCTTGAGCACCATTGCAATGTTTGTTTTCAACTGACAAATGCTTACAAAAAAATTTAAAAATTATTTTTTACTACATGCAACTGATACAAACAATTTATCACAAAGATGCTGCACAGACACCTGGAGTGCAGTGCTCTTAACCTTAAACTGGAGGGATTGTTTATCATTTCACCATTCACTTCTTTGCAACTGTGTCACTTTTGTGTATTTCAGTGAGTCTTCACTCAGCTGAGACTTTCAGTAAGAGGTAGAAGGTAATGCTGGCTGCAGAGCTCACAGTGTGGGTGCTGTGGTTCTCTTTCCTCCAACAGCTTGACAAAAATCACTGTTGCTGCATTTTCTATATAGGGTTTTTGCCCAGTAGTTGGAAGTTGGGACTTTAAATTCCACTTTCCTTTGTGTTTCTGTGTGTTTAGCTTAAGACTTCCCCAGGTTATTTAGGTTTTGAACTCATCATGGGGAAGCAGGGACTGGTATCCATTATGTGCAAAGATAATGACTGGTAGATGGAACTTGATTTTCTTCAGTTGCTGAGCACTGCAGTTCAGGTATCTCAGTGTTACTAGACCTGGAGCAGTGGTCAGTGGTGTGCAGTCTCCTCCTCCACTGCTCCTCAGCAGTCAGGTAGGTCTGTCTGAGCCCAAACTGATCGGTCTGGCTGACTTTGATCTGGATCCGTGGAGTATGTTGGTGACGTTTTCTTGTGCACTTTGTAAAATCAGAGCTGGCCTGGACTTGGTATTGCCAAGCAGTGACTTCAGTCACTGAACTCAAGGTCACTCTTCCTAAAGCCAGCTCAGTGTGTCAGTTAATCCACAACTTTGATTAAATGCCCAAGGACCACGTCGAACTGACTGTGTTTGCATCTATTTTAGGGATCTGAATCCGATTTAAGTGACTCTGATAATGATTCATGAGGTGAGGATGCTTTGCAGACAGGAAAGGACCAGTAGTGGCAGGGTATAAAGGCAGGCACTTGTCACACAGGGGCTGCAGTGGTGAGGGTGGGCTTAGGATTTTTCAGTGTCAATTGATTCATTTGATGTTTGGAATGCCAGACTCTTAAATAAAATCAAAATATCATTCAGCTGGAATTTTACACACATGGATCATAGCCAAAGGTTCTTGTTTGGTTTGGAGGGGTTTTTTGTTTGTGTTTTTGTTTCCTGTTGGCAGGAAATGGTAAAAGGAATCAAGCAGATGTACTTTTGAGAGACATCAGAAATAAAGGTCAGAAGTTGCAGTCTAAAGAATCTAGTAATTGTTTATAGTAATGTGGGTAAAAAAAAATCTAAAAACTTCACTGTTCTTCATTTATATATCTACCATGAGTTACGAGAAACAGAACTATACCTGTTAAGTTAAATGGGGTTATTTTAAGGTATTACGAACTAGGAATTTATCAGTGAGTTTGGAATCTTGGTGGACTTTTTGACAATTTTGCCTATGAGTTGAAAGTCTTCATAAAGTTTAGTTGGCTAGGCTGATAGAACAAAATACTTCTAGAGCTTGAAATTCCCTTGTAAGCAGTTGTACAGTTCTCATTTAATAGATGTAGAGTTCTGACTAGCAGTCTATAAATTACCTGTCAGCAGAACAGTGTGCTTTTAACAAACAATAGTTGTCAGAAAAGTTCTGAGTAGGAATTTACATTTTCTTTATTATTTCTTAGGATGACATACTACATCTCTGTACAGTACATTTTATGTTATGGTAAAAATTATGCCTTGTTTTGGAAAGAAAGAAAATAGTTTACAACAGATATTTTTAATAGGAATAAAGCCTTAATTTTTCCTTTGTGTTTTATTATTATTGTAAGACTACATGTACTCTAGAATGCTTTTGCCTCATAAGTTTAATAAGAACTGAGAGAAATGGTAATTTTGAAATGACAGTAATCTTGTGCTTTGAAAAAAAGTCTTGTTTTTCAAGACTGAAAATTGAAACATGCCATAAACCTCCTGCTGCTTGTGCTGCTTTATCCTTTACAAACTGCTTGAACTTCGGCACCTCACTGTAATCCAAACCTGGCTTTCAAAGCTTTCATTGGAATTTTAATGATTTTAAAATATTAAGATATGTGAAGTAGAATTATATAAAAAATATTACCCCTCAACTTCTTTGGTGTATTTTTATTCTGTGATAGAGTGGGATTATTTCAAACTCCACAGCTGTATGTATTTGTGATTTTAACTGTTAACTGTATATACTGTATGGTTGTAAATCATTTTGTATAAGTTTCACTGATACAATGGTCCAAGCTACAGAAGAAGTAGGCAATAAGATTTAAAAATATCTGCATATCTCCATGCACATGAATATGGTACTGCTGAGGTGCACCCACAGACCATGATTCATCCTTGCCCTGCAGTATGTGCAGGCTTACAACAGTAAAAAGATGGAGTGAATGACTGGGAAGCATTTAGTTTTTTCAATATTTTAATTTGTATTTGTTGTAATATGATAAGAATAACATTGGTACCATAGTGATTTTTCCTATCCATTACACTGGTATTATAACTTCATTAATTTATAAAAATGTTGTAGCTATTTGTACTTTTGTATTAGTTTGTTTAAGTTGCAGGTAGGCAGAAGTCTGTTTGACATCCTGTGATGCTGAGATTTCCCCAGCCCTGCTGATTATCCATGTGTGTGTATTTTACAGGGCGCAATGTCTGTGGACTCTATTACAGACCTTGATGACAATCACTCAAGATTGTTGGAGGCTCTCCAGCTCTCTTTGCCAGCAGAAGCCCAGAGTAAGAAAGAAAAGGCAAGAGATAAAAAACTAAGCCTGAACCCTATTTACAGGCAGGTTCCTCGGCTTGTAGATAGTTGCTGCCAGCACTTGGAAAAGCATGGTAAGAATATTTTGTTTTCCCAGGAGTGGCAGATTTATTTTTACTATAATATAAATAAATGCCTATTTTGAGAAGTAAGAATATGCTTCCATTTGCAAGGATGTCTTTGAAATCTAGACATTTTCCCTCCTGTTTTGCCTCTTGCTAAAAATTCTGTCTCACAAAGTAATTACATACATGTTAACTTCCCAAGCTGAAGATCCATGCTGCCAGCTTGTAAACTGACCCATAGAGCACAGGGATGGAGGCTTTCCCTGGAGGTCACTCATCTTGTACTGGGGTGCTCAGCTCTGCAGAAACAGCTCTTCACACCCCACAGGTTTACATGTACCTTCAGAATAAAAAGTCTGAAATGTGCCAGTCAGTCTGGAATCATTCTTCACAACCACTGGATCTTGAGGTGTGAGATCTAGATGAGCTATTTATCCTGTAGGGCAAGACTTTAGATATTTGAAGATGGAGGCTCAGAATAAGAAAGAATTCCATGCTAAATATGTATTAAGCTCCAAGAAGCCTCTTCCTGTTCACGGCAAGGCTCAAAGGCTGAATGCTTAGTTTGTCTCTGGGTTGATTACTCCTGACCAGCCTCAGACTCATGCCTGCTCTCTCCAAAGGAAATTACAGACTCCTGCCAGTATTCTTATGTGTCCGTGATTGTCCAGACACAAACCTCCCACAGCTTTACATAATGCAGAACCACTAGTCGATCTAGGTGTCTGCTCACCATCTCTGCCAGTGTACCTTAGCCTTGTAAAGTTTTTTAATGATAATTGAAAAGCTTGGCGACAGCAGGATGGAGTTATCACACGGCCAGATAATCAACAAACCATAAAATAATGGTGATTCTAACAGCAAATGATGTATTTGATGCTAATTTCGCCGGCAAGAAATCATTTACTAACTCTGAATGAGGGGCTTTTGCAGATGAGGGACTGCAATTTAAACAACAATGCTGAGCTTTCACAATACGTAACTGGAAGCTATTTTCTGTACAAATGTATCAAGGAAGGCTACAAAAGATAGATTTAATCTTTTACAGAGATTAAATACCATGGTTTACAAGTAAGTATGGGATGATTAAGTTTGAGATGAATGACCTCCATCCCTTTAAGCAAAGGTAGCTGAGTTTGGAGAACATGGAAGTATCTGAGTCAGCCAAAAAAGCCATCCAGCTGAGTATCATTTGGATAGCATGATTTTATGTCACCTGTTCATCTGTGAAAACTTTTTAAATCCTCTTAATACACACTTGTAGCGAAGTTATTTTCTAGATGATGCTCTTTACAAAAACATTTGCTTTACGTTGAAGTTTCCTTTTAAAGGAAATTTATGATGGTTTATTGTGCATGGTTTAAGAGTAAACTATAATATACCACAATGCAATAATCTGATTTAATCTGCTGTCCACAAGACACACACTGGAACTGAGAGAAATTTAAAGATGGTAGAAGATGGACACTGTAGCAAGGATATATGATGGACCAGGTTGCTGATTCTGAAAATACTTTCTATATACATAAATCCTTTTTCAGCAACAAGTCACCAGCAGTTTCTGATGAATGCTTTAAAGGATAATTCTGAGCATTATGTGACAAAAAAAGGGTTATGTTTTTGGACATAAAAGCTCCTGTCCTTGTTCACCTTCCCTATTTTCCCTGGGATCATGTCCCAGAGATATAAAGGCCTGGCTTTCTGTAGACCTGCAGTGTATACAAACACTGTATGTCTATAGGAACAGGTAACCAGCTGCAGGTTTTGCCCACTGTGTCTATCTCCATCTCAGATGATTCCCTGCCAATGTTCCTGGGTTTACTAAATGATAGTGCATCAATGTAATTTTGTGTTAACCAAAGAGTGAAGATTTAAAACGAGGTGTTATGTTCAGACTAAAAACTAAAACACAGAATTCTGTCTGGATTTCTCTGAGGAAGATCTGCAACTCCAAATACTGCTCAAGGTGACACATCCACTAGCAAGCAAGTGTAGCATAATGGCTGTCAAAAGGCATTTGTTTCACAAGGTAATTTTACATATCCTGCATGTCAGTAGAGATTACAGCTACAGAGTAGCCCTTTTTAGACCATAAACTTCCAAGTTTATGGATAATTTCATCCCTTTTGCAAAGTGTATAACCATGTAAAATTATATTATGTACACAGGTCCTAAAGGCTCTAAAATTTCCACTCACATTGTTATTGCTAAAAGACCATGTCACCTCTCAAATTTTTCAGGCATTTTAGAGCCAGTGAGTTACCCCAAATACCAACTTCATCCTGTACCAAAGGACACAGCTCAATGCCCACGTATTTAGTTGTTTTACTGCCTGATTCCTTTGATGTCAGTCCTGAAAGTTACACCCCCAAACCCTGAGCAGTGCCTCAGTCTCTGCATACCCTTGTTCCTCATAGCAGTAGCACTACCAAAGTGGCATCACAAGACATGTCACAGGGATGCCATTTTGCAGATTAAGTGTGATCCTTAAAAACCACAGGGGATGGCTTCTTAATCACAACTGAATCTTGTATCAACATGGTAAGTACAAGTTTGTGGAGAAATATGTTGCTTTTTTTTTTTTTTTTTTATCCTTTTAAGTACACACATAGGTCAGAATGCTTTGGTTCAATGAAATTTTAAGGAAAAAATTAAACAATAAAATAGTGCTATAATGTGTTATACTTGCAGGTCTCCAGACAGTAGGAATATTCAGAGTTGGAAGCTCAAAAAAGAGAGTAAGACAGGTGAGTGGATATGGATATAGTTTTCTTCCATCAACTATGATACATACAAATCTCTTTCCTTTTGTTGTGATTTCTCCCCATCTGTAGCATGGTGAAATTTAGGCTTTCTGGGTCAGTGACTTCACTGGTTGTTTGATGGCTCATAAAAGTCCATTTCCAGTACCTTTTACATCTGGTACAATCCTTCTCAGCAGGTTAACAGTCTCCATATGTTTTGCTCTGACAAAAGTAGCACAGGGTTGGAGATCCAAATAAACTACAGTGAAGAAATTTTCCAAAGGTCACACTGCAGGGAAAAAAAAATCTTGGCTGTTCGTTTTATCTCAGAAACAGCTGAAGCTCCCAAAGTAAACTGAAACTGTAAATCTTTTTTGGAAAACCCACAGTATGAGAAAACATGCAAGTACAGAACAATCTCTTTGACCCTAAGATCACTGCTCCTAAATATCACCTTTCTTTTACCCCTGCTAGACTTCAAGGTCAGAACAGACCCTTCCAAGTCTTAATCTCAGCCAAATTATGAAAAAGCAAAGATAGTGTACGATTATGTTCCAGAGATAAAGTCAAAAGTGGGTGATCGCTCCTAGGTATACCTACCTACATATTACACTGTTATTCCCAGAACTGGGAATACATGTTGAGTTAGAGCAGTGGGGAATAGTGGTTAATGTTTGAGTGATGGGTAAGGAGAGGATAGAAGTTAAGACCAAAATATCAAGCAGGAAAAAAAAAAAGTAAAAGGAAGCTTGACTGCATCTGATCCCAGAAGTTATAGTTCTTTGCAAAAAGCTGCAAAAACTTTATAGTGTAATGTTTTATCATTCTGGAAAGGTACCGTGAATAGCTGAACTGAATTGATTTTGGCTGGTGGGACAGTATAGCCTACTGAACTGCAGCTCATTCTCCAGCAGTTTCTATTCCTGAGTACCTGGTGTAACACTAAACTAAAAAAAATCTGCAGAGGCAGTTTTCAGATCAAGACTGAACTAGATAAAGTATTGAAGTTGCCTCACATTTGCATTGCAAGCTTCAATGTCAAAACATACATTATCATTTAGGGATGAGTAGAATTGCATCATACATCTGAGGAAAAAGCAGAGAGCTTCTATCATTCACTTGTAAACTAAGCCTTTCTTTGGACATCAATGATTTCCACCACTTTTTCTTTTACTCTCTTTACAAAAGGTGAAGAAATCAAGAGATTTGGATATCTATGTTTTGTATTACATGGACTAATTTATTGAACTAGGTAAACTGATATATTTCATTAAACAACAAGGAAGCATCAGCTTGGCCCTTGTAGTTACAGTAATAAATGCTGTCAACATGAACACATGGGAAAGTCTGGATTCAATTAAAATTCCACTCATTTTCTGAACCACAGAAAGCCAAACCCAGCACTCAGATTTTGGTGTGCTTTTGCAGCTGTTCACTAGTTTTTCTTGTGTAGAAAGTAAGTATATTTTGTTTTCCTTCCTTCCCCAGTTAGACAATGTCCTGTTTCCACTGTTGTTTGTCGCAGTAAATATGTAAGTAGAGTAGATGCATGTGCCAGCGAGGTTTTTGATTGGTGAGCAGGAAGAGAAAATTTAGAAAATCTAGATTTGCATCTCTTGCAAACCTACTTCTCCATGTTCAGTGTGGTGTAGGAGAGATTCCCAAACTCATGTTGACTCAAGGTGGAAGATCTGGTGCCTCAGGATGCCAGGTACCATTTTGTGCCCGGAACAGATGCTCGAGCAGAGCATTGTTGCCAAGGTTGGGGTGAGCAACCATTTGTGCTGGGCCTGGTGACATTGTGGCAGCTTCAACCCTGAGGATGAAGAATGAAATAGTTGGAGCTCTGCTCTCCTATCCCCTGTTCCAGCACAGATATCCTTATCTCTCATATCATGAGATTCAGTGGATGCTATAGTTCACCACCTGCATCTTCCAGAAGTTTGAAAGCATTCCATGTGATTGGAGTCTGAAAGACTTAAATTTGAAGTGTACAATACACAGTTTTAACAGCCATGATACCTGGGCCTGAAATGTGGTCACATCTCACCAAAGCTTCTATGATATTTTGCTGCTTAGGACATCTCTGTAGATCTCACAGGATATCAGATCACAAGTGCCATATTGAAGACTGTAACAGCCATTTATGATTAGCCATCTATTTGGGAAGTCTGAATTCCTGATGCAGTGTTAATCTGTTTCCTCAGCTGCTTTCAGACACTTAAGTGTAGAAACAATCTTCTGGATTGAGGTAATTTATGGTGCTCCACAGGGATGTTCTGCATTTGTCACCAGTCTGGAGAATCTTTGACCATAAATCAAAGAATAATATTAGATAAAGAGCATATTCTGGTCCTCATAGCATAATTATTCATTATTAATAATGACTGATATTAATAATGTTAAAAGTAATCCGAATAAATTAGAATGGAGGCTGTGGTTTTTAATGAATAGCTGTCACACCCATTATGAAAGCACAATCTCAGCTGGAAACAAAGGATTTTCACATTGAATATACTCAAGATAGATTTGCATGTAATCAGGATTTGCCACAAATTATCACAGGCATATAGTGTGCTTGTGACTTAGCTTCTTTCCTCTCTTTGGTATGTTTGCAGTATTCCTGGTGAAGAAACCTGATACCTCAGATTTCTTTCTTTATAAGATTTAGTTGTAATCACTTTCTGAGAAGGTGTGACATTGTGATACCTCATAATGTTAGCAAAGGTACAAATTTTTTGCTAGGAGATAGTTTTAAAACATCTTGACTGTTTTCAAAATGCAGAAAGAATGAAAGGTGAAGCTGTCAGCCTGAGGAAAATATTCTGCTCTTGGTGCTGGAAAATCCCTCCAAAAGAGCAGATAGATACCTTTCCATAAAGTATCTTGGATTTGGGAGAGGGCTTTCTTCTTCCTTTGGGAAGTGTGATGCCTTTGAATTATACAGAATTTGTCTGAGGACCAAAGCGAGGGAAAAAAATAGCAATAACTTGTAAAGATGTTATCTTGCTGCTTGTGAACTCTGTAATGATGATTACTTAATGTTTATAATTAAATTAGGAAGGCAGAACGAGGTGTGTTTGTGAAGGAATGCTGTGAAGTCTTAGTGAACTTCACTGCTTGCTACCTATCTTTACATACAGTCTTAAATGACAAGAGAAGTGTGAATTTGATGGATGTTAACATGATCTTACTAATAATGTGTTTCTACAAAATCATAAACGTTACGAAATGCAATTTTAGTCTTTCTGGTCCCAGGGATAATGCAGTAAGGTGATATAAGAGCCTGTCTTGTAATTTTCCTTATTCTCTCTGGTTTCTGCATTTGCTATAAATCTTCAGTTTCTGCAAAAATTATACTTGGATACATACAAGAGTGTCATATATTAGCTGGAAAAAAACTGTATTTTATTACAATCTGTTACAAACCTTAAGTTATGTATTATGGAATAAGCAACAATTAGATATGAATTATATCTTCGACCTTACCAAAGACAAGTTATGCTCAATCTTGAAAGTGAAAATGAGTAAATCTACTTCCTAAAAAATTTCCTGTGTTGGGATGTATTAATTGGGACAATAAGTGACTATGGTTTTCTCTCATGATTTTTTTTTTTCCAGTTACGTGAAGAGTTTGACCGAGGTGTAGATGTTGTATTAGATGAAGAGCACAGCATTCATGATGTTGCTGCCTTGTTAAAGGAATTTCTGCGTGATATGCCTGACCCACTTCTCACCAGAGAGCTTTATACACCTTTCATCAACACCCTCTGTGAGCTCTGCAGCATCTTGATTTATCAATTTTCAAAAGCTAATTTGTTTGAATTCTTTGATCTCTACCAATAGCCTTCTTTTATTCTGTTCCTTTAATGCTCTGGTCTTGATTTGCTCCAAATATTTGTATAATACATTATAAAGTATATAGTATATTCTAATATATGATAGTAAATATAATATAATATAATATAACATAACATAATATAATATAACATAATAGAATAGAATAGAATAGAATAGAATATATATGTGTATATTAATATAAATAATATAGTATATTCTTTAGAATAAGTTTACTGAAGTGTCTTCCTGGTTTTTATATTGTCTAACACAGAAAACTGGAACAAGAGCATTTCACTAACTATACATATTTTTGCATTTGTAAGGAAGAAATTCATGCTGTCTATTAAAAACCTGACCCTGTCATAGATCCAGCAGTGCCAGGTCTCTGACTCCCATTTAAATCCTCTTACCTTAAAATTTTTTAGATCTGTCCACTAACCAAAGTTCTAGCTTGGTTTCAGAAATTCAAGTTTCTTCATACTTAATGGTCCTCAAAGCCATCATATTAAGTACTCCCAATTGTGTTGCCTAAGACCCAAGTGCAGACTCTCAGGGATTTAGGAAAAACTCAAGTGGGACATTTCAAGCTTAAGCAGCTGCCTGGTATATGTTCTTCAGATGCTTTCTAGCCCTCATGTCTGAGATCCTGCCTCTGTCCCACCTTTGTCACTGGCTACCATTTAGATGGTAGATGGTTCAAGTGGTAGTGGTAGCAGAATGCCCTTTATTTCTCTGGCTGCATTTCCAATCTCCTGGTACTTCTGCAAGATTAAAAACTGTAAGAAAACTGATTAAAAATGGCTGAAGCAGAAAGCTGACTGGAATGCTTGACAGCTACTGTAGCTATACCTAAATTAATGGAGTAAATAGAAAAGTAAACAGAATATTTGAGCCCAGTAATAATGATGGAGTGTAAAACATGGATTTTGCTCTCTTATACCATGAACTTGTGAGCAAAATGTTGACCAAGGCAAAAATCCCGTAGCAGTAGTTCTTATAGTTTCCATGTTTCCTTAGAGTTTTCTCTTTTTCTTCTGATGTTGTAAGGAAAATGATTCTTAAACAAAGCTATTCCTATTCCTTTGGGTTGGGAATAGTATATTTGTTCTGCTTTTAGGTTAGTTGGAGTGATTTTCTTAGAACATATTTTTTCCCCTCTTAGTATTAGAGCCAGATGAACAGCTCAGCACCTTACAGCTTCTCATTTATCTTCTACCTCCTTGTAACTGCGATACCCTTCACCGGCTGCTGCAGTTCCTCTCCACAGTAGCTGGCCATGCAGAAGATACCAGAGACAAGGATGGCCAAGAGGTAAGTCCTGGTCACTTGTGTCCTTTGACTTTGCTTAATCTGTGGTCTGAAAAGAGACCTTTGAAGCCTGGAAACATACACAGTGCTGGCATATCCCTGAAAGATGGGAGAGACTTCATCTATTTGCCTGCACTTCTGCCATTTGTTTACTATGTTCTTAGGGCTGTGAAGGTTTAATTTTTGTATGACTTAATCAGTAAAGCATCTACCACTTCCTTTGGGAGGTTCAGTGTACCAGCCTTGTTGTCAAGAACATCTAATGTCATCCATCCTTTCCCTGCTGCCTTGTTCTATCCCATTATATTCTATGGGAAAAGTACTCAGAAAATGCCAGGCATGCAAGGATATGTTTTTTTCATTTTTTCATTCTCTGTTGTTGCTTTTTTATATGACTTTTGGACATAGAAGTTCCGTTCTTGGTTCTCTCAGCTTCCTTGTGTGCCCTGGGTAGTGAAAAATAAAAACAGAGGACAGGACAGCTGTATCCTTGCAACTGATAAACCTCATCATTAGCTGGAGTCAGGGTTCATCTTTGCCTGTTTTCTTTCTGACCTCCTTAACTGTTGCAGTCTGGAGCAAATTCAGTGGAGAGTTTGATGTGCACTCACCCCACAGAGACAAAAATGCTCACAGCCGTGGGGCTGAGCTCTAGCCCTGAGCATTCTCACATCTGCACCTGTGCCCATTCACACTAGAGACCTTAAAATCCAGACTTCCCATTTCCTGCCAGGGAAGGGCTTGAGCTAGCAGGATGCTGTGCGAAAGGAGGCAGCTCTGTTAACTGAATAAAATGGATACAGTCTGTCAGTGATGGACAAAAATACACTGGTTTATTTGTGGAAGGACTTCTCAGTCCTCTGAACCGCAGCAGAGACTACTTCTGAGGCTCTTAGGAAACTCCTCAAGAATCTTGTCTTCCAGATGGAAAATCATGCTGATTTTGTCAAATTTGGATGCCTTTTACAGTTGTCTGATTTTAACAATTAGCACTTATTTTTGCCAAATTTCTGCCTCAAATCCTAACCTGCAATTATTCATTCTTTACAAGTCCCAACTTCCAGAGTTGTATGTGACTTCAAGGACTATTTCACTTTTAAATCCACTATAAATGCTATTATTTTTGTTCTCAGCAAGGAGTTGATTAAAAAAACACCTATATCACTGTGGTGGAAAGCATTTAGAAAGAGCAGCCTGTAACAGTTTTACTGTGCTTAAAAACATGTATAAGCCATCTGAGGTCATGGTCCCCCTGGTCCTGCAAAGAGTTCTCTGTTGGTTCAGGAATGTACCCAAGAGGATTTTATTGTAGGGCTAGGGGATGCTGCTTAACAGAGTTGATTTGGCTCAACCGTTGTACATCAGCTTTGCCACAGGTATTTTGGCAAGGCAAATTCCTGTAAGCTATCTTGACACTATTGTAAGCATCAGGAATATTATGTGCAACTGGATACCTTTTATAGATAACATAGTATTCTGCTCACAATTATTTGAACTATTTATGAAGAATTAAGTAAATAAAGGCATACTGGGCAAGAGAATGTGTTTTATCAGACTGTTTGCTATCACTGGAAGGAAAACAGCCAAGCTTTGGCACACAGACCCTCTTCTTGATTTCTTTCAACAACCCTTCTCTTGCGAAGATGAAGATGGATGACTAACTTGATTAAAATTACTCATTCAGTTAATTTCAGTGGAAATGTTTACAACATTTTTTGAGGCTGCCCTTAAGAAAAGGCTCACTCACTGTTTGTACAAACAGCCTGCACATGCAGGTCTGGGCAGAGCCAAGGGCTGCCCCAGCTCACTTGAGGTACCCTGTGCCTGTGCATCCACCGTGCCTCAAAACTCAGACAGAGTTTAAAAAGCTGAGAAACAGCTGGATGCTTGGTGATGTGCAAATAAGGGTGTGCTGTTCTCACAGTTGTGCTGGGATGAGTCTCTAAACAAAGAGACAACATATTTGCTATGACTGCCCATGCACCTACTTAGTACAGATGTCTTTCCAACATCACATACTGCTCCTACCAATAAAAAGACAAGCTTTTTACTGTCATTTCTGTGCTGTTTAGTTGAGTTCTTTAAAAAATAAACCAGGTGTAGTTAGTGCAGTTTTAGGTTTGACCAGAATATTGGGTGAATGATGAGCTACAAAATAAATTAGAATTGAGTACTGCTTTGAAATCATATTTTGTACAGCTCACTTCTTGAAATTCTATTTTTACTGCCTCTTTTTGATGTTTCTTTATATCCTTTTTAAAAATTAGTAATTCAAATGACCTCTGCTTTTTGCACTGTTGAAAGAATAAAGGGGGAAAATAATAGTCTAATCACAAATGGGACAATGAAATTTTTGATGTAATGACATATTTTTCAGATAATTCCTGTCTAGCCTAGTATGTACTCCTAGCCTTTTACTTCCTCAAAATTCAGGTTACTGTCGCTTCCTTGAGCACAGGTTTATAAAAGTAGAAAAACAGGTAAAAACCCAACAAACTAAAAAAAGCCACCTAACAAGTAAACATTTGGCATGTTCTAAAAACACAGGAAAATACTAATAAAAACTGTGAGCCTGCTCCTTAATTATCTCAACAGTTTAAACATGGAAAAGTATCACTGTATATGTTTCAAGCCATGAATGCCACTTGAGAAAGCCAGGAGCTTTCAGTATTTGGTCTTAAAAGACCAAATGTAATGTGCTGAGATGCGGAAGTAGGAGGGAGGTTTCTCTGAATTCAGAAGTATGCTACTGTTGAGCTCCCAGGGACTTAAGGGCAGAAAACACTTCCACCTTCTACTCCTCTAATTCGCTTGAAAATATATCCAGAAAATCTACAGTGCTTGCTGCAGAGATACTCAAAACAAGGTGTTTCTAAAAGTAGTTCCTTTTTATTGGCAAGCAGCAGGTTTTAGTTTTGATGAATGAAACATCTGCCAAATCTAGGGGGAGAGAAAGAATGTGTGTGTGTGTGTGTGTGTGTGTGTGTGTGTGTAGGGGTGTGAGCGTGTATGGATGTGTCTATATACATATCTGTATACATTAGGCCCTGTGAGACCCCACTCATCTTTATTCTCTTTTTTAGATTACTGGGAACAAAATGACATCGCTTAACCTGGCCACCATCTTTGGCCCTAACTTGTTGCACAAGCAGAAATCTACAGACAAAGAATTCTCAGTTCAGAGCTCAGCTCGAGCTGAAGAGAGTACTGCTATCATAGCTGTTGTGCAAAAGATGATTGAAAACTATGAAACCCTTTTCATGGTGGGTGGATATTTTTTCATATTATTTGTATGCATTTGTAAGACAAATGAGAAAATACCTGATCAATATTAAAATAGATGGAAATGAAATAAAATGTAGAAACTGCATTAAAATGGGATCAGTAATTATTGGTTAAAAAAGAGTAGTCTTCTAGCAAGGAGAATGATTTGCAGTAAGTGAAAATATTAAAAATGTGTACTTGTATCTTGTATAGAATGGTTTCTGTGTAGGTAAAGATATATTGTTTAGAAGATTGTGAAAATGACAGGGTTGGCCATTCAGTTGTATACTGAGCAGTGCATGGACAAGACTGAAAATGTTCTTTCCCATCTCAGTTTTGGAAGTTAGGAAGACAATTTTTCTGCAGGGATTGAGATCTTTGATTAATTTAAGGAATTTCCTTCCCTACCCAAGACTTTTTTATTGATTGGATGGAGAGGAAGGACAAAGCTTTCTTGTTTGTTAGCTGGATAAAAGGAATAAAACATAAATCTGTGTAGTTCCTGGGTTCCCTTTAGTTCTCTTTCTCAAGCAAGCAAGTTCTTCATAAGAAGGCTGGTGGCCTTGGACTTGGACATGTTGTTTACTTAAGACAGAGCTTAGTTAGATCACATTTCTCATGCCTGTAAGTTACCTGAGCAGCTCATTCTGTGGCTTTATCTTAGGATCTTTTTGTGTACAAAATTGTAGGTCAGCTCAGCATGGCTTGTGTCTGAGGGAGCCCTGCTCTGGGATAGCAGAGGCCAGTCAGACCTAGTGGATATTTATTTACTATTATTCTGCCTTTATTTTAGTAAATACTACAATAATAGTAAATTTAAATTTAGTAAATACTGCAGCAGTAAATACTAAATTTAGTAAATGTGTATTACATTGTAACAGAACCAGTAATCATGAAAAAGTGGAAAAAAATTTGGTTGTTGTGTCCTGAGACTAAGCAGCACTGTATGTTACCCTGAGGAGATAAGTTCCCAAAGCAGGAAAAACACTCTGGAAACCTTCAGTGCTTCAGTAAAGCTGAGTGCTGGAGACCTTTTTGGAAGAAGATGAACAACCCTGAACTGTGGGCTGATGGCCACATAGTACTGTAAATGGAAGATGTCTATCAGCTTTCAACAGGGAGTAGAGCATGAGAAAGCAATCATGAGCCCTGCCTCAGATCTCTTAGCCTCAGATGAACTTCTTTGTGGCTTTCCTGCCTTTTATTTTTACTCTTGTACCAGTGAGACACTTGCAATCATTTTTGCTTTGTTTTGTTTTGTTTTGTTTTTGGGTGTTTTTTTAATGCTTTTCACGGTTGGGCAAAATGCTAGGTTCTATTTTTCCTTCCACATCAGGAAAAGAAAGTGACAGAACTGCACTCTTGGGTGAAGGTCTGCTGGCCCAGAGTGTGGTTTGGCACTATCAAGTTTAAAATAATACTTGAATAGAATACTTACAATACTTCAAGTGTTCTTATTGCTGTTTTTCTGTAAGACCTTCTTACAGCACAGACACATCTCACAATACTTAAGGCACACATTCTGACTTTCTGTGTGGAAAGGATGAGGCTAAAGTTAGACTAAGCTGCATCTGGGCTCCTAATTCTGATGGATTTATTCCTTCATCTCTTCAGTGCTTCAGCTTTCATATGGAGGTTAAATGAAGTGTGGGAAAAAGAATTTCTTTTGTTTTCCAGAGTTGCTTTTAACTGTTTATACTTGACATTTCTGATACATTAAAAAATGATCACTTGAAGTTAAACATTCGGCTACAGCTGTAACATGGTGTATTAATGCTCAGATGCTTTTGTGTTTGTTTGGGGCTTTTTCCTTTCTGTTAATTTTATGTATGGAGAGGTTATAAAACTGTGATTGGTTTCAGCATTGAAACTGGAACAACATTTGTGAACCAAACCTTAGGAAACCAGGATTTGTTGGGGTACCCAGACCACAATATCAGAATGATTCTGACATATTGGTGGATCAGAGAGATTCTTTGTTGGAACAATGCAGGATATTGAGCACCATTTTTACTGACTATTGTTAACAACAGTACCGTGCAAAAGTGGATTTCTTATAGAAGATGGAATCTGACCGTGTTTCATTGATGTCAGTGATGATAATCACTTTCATGTCCAAATTTTGCCCATTTCAGTGAGTCTTGGGGATGTATTAAAATGTTTCATGGGGATGTATTAAGGACTGTTCTCTGAACTATGTCCCGCTGCTGAATGAAAGGAGGCACAACTCAAACCACCCTTCATTTTTGACTTGGCATGAGAAATGGAGAACAGCAGCTTGTTCATGTATTTAATCTCCTAGTGTCCAAATCCAGCCCTGCTGCAAAGTGCTACAGAGTGTATGAAATTTCATATTTTCACAGTTAGAGGCTACTGTGGCCTTCCCACTGCAGAGGCAGCCACACACTGCCATTCTGTGCCACATCAGTGGCAAGGGATGGCACAAAGAACACACCTCAAGGGTCCCTCCACCCTTCTGGGTCTCAACAGCTGTGACTATCATGTAGCACCCAACCCCAGAATCTCAGAATATCTGTTACTCTGCTGGAGCCCTGACGACCCTAGAGCCTTCTGATACGTCCCTCTACATCCTCCAGAGCTGTTATTTCAGCAGTGCCTTGGCTTCCCTTCTGTCCCAAATTTCAAATTCTCATCCATCTACTTAGGTGTAATTACCAGTGAGACAATTAATTCAGTAATAGTTACGATGACATATTCCTGAGATACTGATATTGTAGTTCTCTATAAGTTTATGATTAGGTGCATATCATTTCTACACTTGTCAAGTTACTGAACTAAGCTGAAGAAAACTGCTGCACAGGAGGAAGCTCCAAACCCAATGGGTAGATAGCAAGGAGACCATCAGTAAAAATCTACTTGCAGATTCATTCTGGTAAAAGTCCTGTGAATCAGTAGAACTGTTAAGTTTGGGTTTCCCAAAAGCTTTCTATTGGAATTGAACTTCTGGTGGAACTTTTTCAGACTGGTTTGGATGGAATGAAAGACTGATTTATCATTTTTTTTTAAATAGGGCAAGATGTATTTTTATTTTTCTGACTAAGTTCTCTCAGTAGTTTCTTACAAATTACTTGATATAGAGCTGAGTAATAAATTACAGACAAAAATGTGTGGATTTTATTTTACCATGAAACTTCATCTGGATTAAGTTTTTTAATTAATTTTAAAAATAAGTTTTTTATTTAATCGTTAACTTTTTCTTCTAGTGTATAGAAAGGCTTTCTAAACAGAGAAGTTACAGTACACCAGGTTTCCAAAAATTATATTCCTATAAAAATTTTTTGTTTAAAGACTAGTGTATCAGTGACCATCAGTAAGATATTTTTCCAGTTCAGAGACTGAATACAATTTCTAAAAAATGAGTATGTGGTTACACAAGTTTTTCATAGAGATTTTGGATCAGTTTGAATTAAACTATTCCTATCTTCATTTATTTTCTAATTATTTCCTTATTTTAAGAAATATGTCTTTTATGTAACTACACTTCCTAAATGCCTCCCAAAATGAGATATTCCTCTGGGGAATGTGTTAGTAATTTTATTCCTATTTCCCAGGAAATGTGACGGGGGAACAAATGGTCCATGAAGTGTGGCTTGAAGGTCAAGAGATTCAGGCTCTGACAGATTGTATCCAGAAACATATATTGCCCAGCTGATGACCCCTTGCTGAGATTGTCTTGCATTGAGTTCCATCTGTCATGGGTGAACCTGGGCTGTTCAGGTTTCTTGGATGGCTTCATCTGTTTCAGTGTTTTGAAGTTTTGAGTTGAATGTTCCACTGTAATGTGGACAAAACAGACAAACTCACTTGAGGATTGATAAGACTCATGTAAAGTGCAGTTGGAAGGACAAAGTTTTCTTGTGCAGGTTTTGGAGTGCCATTTTTGCTACCTGCCCCCGAGATGTTGCTGTATCCTGCAGCATCTGAAGCTGTCAAGGGTTTTGAAAGTTCATACCCATACAAAGGGCAAAGACAAAGTTAGCAAATCAGAAGGCCAAACTCCAAAGAGGGTGACACAAATTCTGACTGAGCCTGTTGGTCAGAGTGGCTGGAGAGGCAGATGGAGATTTGTAAATGTCCTCAGATCTTTGAAGGGCAGTTCAAAGCGAGGACCTCAAACTGGAGCTTTTGAGATTGTGATACATAAGTAATCCCGCTGTTGTTTTCAGATATAATAACCAACTGGATAGCAACTAGTTATTCAACAGAAATCAGCATTGAACATTGTACAAAGTGATCTTTAGTCTTACTTCATCTATTATTACATGAAATTTCTCTTCTAAATGAAAGCTTCTGAATATTTTATATACTTTCTATAAATGTACTTGGTCGTTTAGATTAAGCATAGCACCAAAATTAATGGATGTGAAAGGATATTAACCTCCAACTAAGTATTTTTTTATGTCTTCATAGGTTTCCCCTGATTTACAGAATGAAGTGCTTATTAGCTTATTAGAGACTGACCCAGATGTTGTAGACTATTTGCTGAGGAGGAAAGCTTCCCAGTCATCGTGAGTAATCTGTTTTTTCATCATCCCTTTTTCTGCTGGGAATTTCTATCTCCCACTGGAAGTGTCCAAAAGGTTCTAGTTTTCCACAGCTCTTCTGCACTGTCTACAGTGGAGTAGAAATATCCTCCCTATTACACAGACTCTGCCAAAGAAATTGTGACTCTTGTACAGCGTTTTTCTAAAGACAAAACTTGTTTCCCCGATTCAGAGGAAAGATTGTGTTCTGCTGGAGAGAACAGAATGACATGTATATAAAAATACTCAGTGCACTATTATATGACAGGATGTATTTTAGTCATCTGCTGGTTCATGTCTTGGGTTTATTGCAGTCTTCGGTAACTGGAAGCATGTATTCCACTGTCCTTGAAGCACACCCTAGAGTGCCTTAACACCGTCACAGTGAGCTGCTTGACCACTCTGTCATTCTTTTCCTGTCCTGTATGCGTAGGATGTTGTGAGCAAGCCAACAACAGCAGCCCTGTGGAGACTTTGGATATTATTTAATTTTATGCTTTGTGAAAGATCTGAAGAGTAAAAAAATCACATTGGTCACTATAGCAGTTATGATGCATAACATATTCTGACCTTGTGTGTGGTGTATATATGCCTGCACCCTTGTGCCTTAATGCTGTGAGTTTGTACATTCAGATTGACAGGATTTCTGGCTTTCTTATGGGACCACACAGTCATTATCTTTATTCTAGTGAATCCCAATATGGCAGACCCAAAAATCACAAAATTTGACGGACTTGCTTTAAGTAATTTTTAAGAGGGTTTCTAGACTCTAAAAACTCTCTGGGACATATTGGACTTTGTCTTCCTGTGTTTGTGGAAAGTGCCTAGTGCATTCAGAATACAATTAAAATTGAATTTGTATAGTCAGTTAGCTATGATTTTTTTTCTTTCCCTCTTAACATTGCATAGTTGGAGGTAATGTAATAGTGTGCCTGCCTTCAAAGGGAAAGGTATAAAAGAAATAGTGTAACTAACACCTTCAGGAAAAGCTTTCTTTAACTATAAAATTTGGAAACAAAAATATGTGCAGAATATATTGAGTTGTAAAGGATTTTATTAGTTTGCTAACTTAACCACATGAAGTAGCAAATTATCACAGATCATCTGATTTGGGGTAATTTTCTCTGTGAAATAATTTCAGCTGGTTTGTCTGTCTGACAAGTAACCATGTGTATATTTAGATCACAGTAAGCGCAGGATAGAGGTACATGAGTTGTCTTTTAGACTTGTTTCACATTTGCTGGAAGCCAAGACTACAATTAAGACAGACACTACAAATCATATGACACAAGGTAGTGTGCAGAGACTTCTTCCTTTAGCCCTTAGTTTGGAATGTTTGTATTATTTCTAACTCAAGCTAATAAGAACTTCATGCTGGATTTCACCATCTATGTAATAAAAAGACACCAAATTGTATCTCACATGTGACTACACATACCAATTGTGCATAAGTTAGTCACAAATCATTGTGGATGTAACAGGTAATTGTTAGATCCTTTTTCCTTAATTGACTTTTCCTCAAACTTCCTTACTTTTAGCCAGCCTGCACAGCTACAGGAGAAAATGCATCTTTTGTGGAAAGCTGGTCACAACTGATAAAAGGCATTTTGTAAGGAAATGTTCTGAAGCCAAACAGGAGCATATAACTACAGTAGTACTAATTTATTGTATTGTCAGTAACAGGCAGATGAAATATCACTGAGATAGGAAAAAATTACTGTCTTTTTTTTTTCTACTCTGCTGTCACGTAAGTGGTTTACTTTTAATGTTAATGAGGTATGTTTTCACTGTGGTTGCAACTTCTTGGTTAAGATATTCCAGGCAATTAGAGAGAATGTTGCTTAGTGTTATTGCTAGGAGTGCAATGCTCTTAAGAGATTCATGTATTTCACAACATAATCTCAATTTCGAAGCTACAAGTGTGTTGCTTATTTTTCCTATAAGAAATGTGAGACAGCAGGAGATGTTTGTCTTAATTTCATAAAAAAGCCTCCACAATATATCCTTATTGCTCTTGGAAATTGCCTGGTCACATACTCAAAATACAAATGTAGATCTGTGGAACAAAAGACTTTAATGTCACATTAATTGCTTTGAAGGTCCTGTTCTGCAATTGCCCTCACATTTCTGCTCTTGCTGTCATTATAAATGCTTTCTTGACTCTGATCTAACAGAAAACACAATCTCTTTTCCTCACAGAGGAGGACAAATCAGATGTTCCTCATCTTTCAGTTCATTTAAGAGCTGAGCATTGTGAACAGTGTGTCAGGGAATTTATGGAAGTTGTTCATGGCAAAGCGTTAATTACAAATGGCAGCAATTGTGAAGTGTGCTTTTGTGGGTGACTTCCCAATTTTTTGTATGTTGGCTTGATGACAATGGAATTTGGGTTTACAGCTGTAAGATGAAGCATCTTTAAACTAACAAAAAATAAAATCTATTTCTTATGGTTATTTATTGCTTATCATGATTAGTAGTCCTTTCAGAGTAAATAAGTTTCGAAGTTACAGCATTTTTGGATGTTTTTGGATTATGATAATGAGTTTTAATCCATCCTGATCTGTGACACAAAGATGAAGCCATACAACAGGTCATACAGTACGTGTAAACGCAGTTTTTAAAGCTGCAGAGGCTCCTTGAAACATTGAGCCCTCTACTCTATTACAGTAGCAACTACATCATAATCCCACAGTAATCTGCTTTGTTGGTAGCACCTGTGTTACTCAAATATGTGTGGAAATTACTACTGTGTGCTGCCAAGCCATCACACTGTAAGACTTGCCTCTTGAGGGCATAATTGTTTTCCCACTCAGAAGCATTAAGTTATAAAGAAAAGCGTTTCTGCCAGAAAGGGATTTCCTATTTTGATAACCTTGATGCTAGTAGAAAAGTAGGAATATCCTCAATAGAAGTAATTATTGTGATTAACACATTTCCAGTTCCACCCATGCAAGTAGATTCTGGTGGACTACATCAATTCATAGAAAGATGCCTGTTGTTTTGGAATCTGAAATTGTATTTTTAAATTCATGTGGCATAGGTTCCCTCTGCTGCTTTCAAGTCTTTTAATTGGTACTTAGCCACTTGTAAAATCTTTTTTTTAGCATACTTCAAAACCCCTGGAAAATACTTAACTTGCCTTCCCATTCCTCACGTTTGATTGCACATAATCATCTATTATTCTTCGTGGGGACCATAATCTGCCCTTCCTCATATAGTGCATGTAGAGGAGTGGGTATCTTGCACAGTACTTATGTTTGCCTTCCAATTTAGTTCCTCCCTAGTGAGTGGGTAGAGAATCTCACTATCCAAGGGAAAAAGGATTTTGAATTGTTGTAAACATCCATTTGCTAATATAAACTCAAACAATAAAGCAAACAGATGTAAAATTTTCATTTTAAGGGATTTGTAAGAATTTGTCCTTTATTTGCAAAGAGCAAACCAAAGTCTTCTTGCAAGTTGTTTTTTCTTTGTGAAGCTGCAAATGTATGAGTTCAATTTCCTGCTTTTAAGTATTTAATCCATTTTGATGGTTTCTTGTAGTAAGATTGACATAGTCCACAGCAGTTCCTTTGATTTTTAAAGGAATTTTGCCTAAATAGATTTGAAAGTGATATTTTACATGTATATAAAAAATAGTATGGTCTTACCAGCCAAAACTGTAAATCAGTGTAGAAACTTGAATGTTTGAATCTTTCCAAAGATTTGAAAGTTTTCATTCAGGTAAATTTTTAGCAGGAGCTCTGTCTTAAGAAGAGGTAGACTATAACAGATCATTGAAGGTAAGACATGAAATCAGTGTTTCACAAAGCTCAAGTTTATGTTTCCACATTCTTTCATTTCCATTTCCCTTATTTCTTGTGTTACCTTGTCATGGCTAAGTGCTGGTTTACCTCTGTCTTTGCCCTGTGCAGCACAGTTAGGTTTTGATGCTGCAAAGATTTACATGCAATAAACCTTACTGTGTAGATGGCATCCAGTCTGGAAGGCTGGAAAGAGGCACATTTGATCATAGGAAACCTGCAGATATCAACATTTCCCCCCTTTTCTAGGAGGTCCTTCTAGTTCTTCTGAAAATCCCAAGACATTGCTTAAATCTCATATCCCTGCACAAGGGTTTTTAGAACTTAGAAGCATAGAAAGAAAGAATCAAGTGGCAAGAAAAGAGAAAAAGGATTTGTGATAGAATTAAACATACTTAAAAAAACTATAGTTCTTCAGTGTGTGTCTGTTTATAGATTAATTTACATAGAACTCATGTTCAGATAAAAAGTTTAGATGAGAAGTTATTTAATTGAGGGCTTTTTTTTTTTAAAATGGCTCCCCAGCATTACCATGCTGCTCTGGGAAGCTTGTGACAGAGCAGCTTTGCCAAATGGCAGCTCTGTTTCTTGAGTTTGCCTCAGTTTAACTCCAGCCATGGTTTTATCACTGAGAGTTACTGAGGAGTAACAGTAATTAATTCCCAATTTATGGTTGCTTTCATACTGAAAAAAAAAATAGGAATATTGAATAGCATAATGACCATACTGTCAATTGTATATACTGTAGTTTTTGGGACATGCGATATGTAAATCAGCTGGGATAAAAAGAACAGCTTGAAAGTGGCGTTAAGTTCTGTCATTAGTTCTGTGTTAAAATTTACTGTGCTGTGGCTAGCTGTGTGTTTTCTTGATTTTCTTTCTTCAGTTTTTCTTATTTGTCGGGAAAGAGGGCTACTGTTCCATAGAGAGAAATGAGTTTGGCTGCTCAACTACATTCAAGCTGTCTTTGAATTTGACTATGTAAAGGGCTGACCATTTTCAGACATTTACAGGAATGAGCCTCTGTTGTATCATGTTTAACTAGTACAGATATTGATGAGAGGTCACTGAAAGAAGTGTTTGACTCAGGAGAAACAAAAGATAAGCATTTATGAAACAAAGGTTTCAAAGAAATGAGTAATAGAAATATAAGTTAGCGAGGAACAACAGGAAAAAAAAGTTATGTTTGTTTACAGAGTAGTTCTACATGTTCTTTGTGATACTCAGTGACTCACAGCCTGCCTCCTACCTGCACAACAAACTGGAACAGTTCAAGAAATCTCCATCAATGTTCCCAGCACATTTCAAAAATTTACCTCTCTGACCTTTGCCTGCACTTAGGTGGGAGTTGTATTTGTCTTTTCTTGGTGAAATTAAAGGCAGTTTATGTTGGTGGTGGTGTGAAGGTGAAAAGGTAAAAGAAGTTATAGAAGGTATCAGTAGAACCAGTTGTTTGATGCCCCAGTCATAAGTACAGTAAATACATCTAATTGTCCTCTGTAGAATATTTACCTTCTTAAGAAGAGGATCATTCTCACAGTGTGAAAGGCAAGCTGAGTGCTTGATTTCTCTAGGTAGAACTTCAGAATGCAAGAATTTATTTTAGCATACTGCTTAGCATCAAACTAATCTGCCCTATCATGCCTTCGGCTTTATTGTTGCCAGAAGCTACATTGTCAAGGTAACATAAGGAATTGATTCACTGCTTAGTTTCTTCTGGTTTACTGTACAGTTGTGTGGGTTTTTTGTTGATTTCTTTCTTGACAGCAGCATCTTTTGATTTTGAGTGGCCTCTGCTGGCCACTTCATGGCAAAAGTTTTACTCATGGAAAATCCACCTCAGTAACTGTTTCTGAAGTGTTTTCATTTCAGCAGCTGTGACCATTCTCGTGTATTTGATTTTATATGTGTGACTATAGAATCATAGAATGGTTGGGTTGGAAGGGATCTTAAAAGTAATCGAATTCCCAACCCCCTGCCATGGCCAGGAATACCTTTCACTAGACCAGATTGTTCACAGCCCCATCCAACCTGGCCTTGATGTCAAACTGCACCTGTAACTGTGAACATGAAACATTTTTTGTATTAACAGTAGTTTGTTCATCAAAATTTCTTAGGAGCCCTGAGATGCTGCGGTCAGAAGGTTCCTACTCCACAGGAGAAAGACATTCTTCCACAGACTCCAACAAAGCTTCCAGTGGTGATGTCTCCCCTTACGACAACAACTCCCCGGTGCTGTCTGAGCGCTCGCTGGTGGCAATGCAAGAAGAAGTTGCCCACAGCCCAGATAAGCTGTACAAGGTACCTGAGCAGTACTCGCTGGTTGGACACTTGCAAACTAAGCCAAAGGAGAACTCTTCTACATCACAGGCTGGAAAAGGTATAGTGCATCCTGCTGCATCATCCTTAGTGACTGATGGAGATTCCTGAACTAATTGAAAAGTGCTGGATTTGTATTATCAGCTACCAGGATTTGAGGAGCAATAGTGTAAATAACCTTACAAAAAAAAATGACAGGCCAATATCCTTTTTTTTAATTGAACCTAAAAGGAACTGTGCTGAGTCCTCATTAGATCAGCCAGCTGCCAGGGTTGCTTTTGGTATGGGACTTCTCAAAATTTGGAGATATTATTTAGGAAAATAGAACTTTGTACTTGTAGTTTTTCCGCCTGTCTGTGACAGCATGGCAAAGTCTAGTCCTGATTCATGGGACTGTAATACCTACAAGGTTATGGTCCAGGTTTTGGAAAAAGCTGAGATTTCAAGATTTCAGGCACAAACTTTCTCCAGTTGTAAAGAATGATCTCAACACGCTCTCACTGGAAAACGCAGCTGAGCTGCACAGCTTTACATCTGCAACCAATTACACACTGAGCAATACTAGTGCAGGGATCCATTATTGCCAAAGCTACCTGAGAAGTGCATACCTGAATGATTTCTTTGGTAAAGAAATCTGGTTTAAACTAATAGCTCACCAGCACTTCAAGATGCTTTTCCTATAAATATATATATCTATATATATATCTATATATATATATATCTGTATGTATGTATATATGTGTGTGTATATATGTATGTATGTATATGTATGTATATATATATATATATAAAATTATCGTCCATGAAATTTATGTTTAGTGAGCCAAACTTTAGGAACTTTCAATGCTTAGGGATGCATATAACTGTTTGGTGGTATTTTTAATACCACTTAATTTCAGATGTACTGCCTAGGCACTTAATTAATTCCCTTTGGAATTAATGGGATTTAGACTGTCTGAATTATATGCTTTATAAATGTCAATTGGAATTTATCTTCTGTGTGCAACATCTAAATTTCTGGACAGGTTTAAGAATTTGGTAAGATTTCTATTAAGTTATGAAACAGGAAATTACCTGAAGTTTTATCATATTAACCATCTTTTGTACTTTAATATGCATCTCGAAGGTGTTGGGCCATGAGAAATTAGGAGATTTCTCTACTGATTAGAGGAATCAGAAAAAAAGCATTAAACTGTTTATAACCCAGCATTTCATTAAATATTTGTTCTGTGGCTGCACTTCTGGGTAAGACTGGCAGCATCCTTGGGTTGATAGAGCATGCCTTACAGTGACCCCTGGGGCTGGGGCTGCCTGAGGGTGCTTTGTCAGAAATTACCTTTGTTGGACCAAATCCCCCTGTTCTTGTGCAAAATGCCACAGTGCAGCACACAGGTATTGGGTCATTAAGAAAAATAATATACATGTCTATTGTTAATTGGATAAGAATGAGTATAAAGATAAAAGAACTGCATGGTTCGGGGGCATTTTGGGCATTCAAAGCCAAAGTGAGACACAAAGTGAGCCACAAGGCCATTCTGTACCATCAGGAAGAAAAAGAGCCAGATTGCAGTGAATTAAACTTGTGCACAAAGTCTGGAGAGACCTGCCAAGTTCTGTGATAACATCCTAATAAACACGAGAAACAAGATCCTAACAGGATTTGGAGTTTTTGTTCTGACCTGGAGAACTGTGATAAGCGGGACTCCCTGTGAGGGAATATCCCCAAGGAGCTTATCTCAGAGAAGCTGAGAAATCCAGGAGTAAAAAGAAGTGCAGAAGAAGCACAGCAGCAGAATTAGAAGAGAAAAAAGAAACAAAAAGAATTTTTAAAAAGCTACACACAGTACTCCAGGTGGGGTCTCACACATGAGATGCTCCTGTTAGGTACACAGTGAAGGTGCCGCTGGATGTTAATGGCTCTGATACATTACACAAGGTTTTACCTTTCTGTTTGTATATTTCTAAACAATGCCTTTAAGAGGATTGATTCATCATCTTTTCCCTGCTTTCACTGCTGTTTAGATGTTTCTGAAGATCATTTTGATATCTGGGGCACTTGGCATTCAACGCTGAAAAGTGGCTGCAAAGATCCAGTAATCACAGGTCAGTAATTTCTCAATTTTAAAGCCCAAATCTAGCAAAGAAAAACCCAATTACTTGTTTTCAAGAAATCACAGTGAAACCAGTAGGAGACTTCACATTGTCCAGAGCTAGACTTTTAAAAGGTGACTTAAGTAGAGTGCAGAGGAACACAGTGTTCAGTGGAATACAGAAAACAGCAACATTTCAAACTATCAAATATAATTTGAAAAGTCATTTTAAAATTGCTTCAAGAAATAGTTTTAAATTCTTCTAGAATTCACAGAATCAGAACCATAGACGGATAAGAGTTAGAAGGGACCTTAAGGATCATCTAATCCCAATCCCCCTCCCTTGGGCAGGGACACTTTCAACTAAACTGGGTTGCTCAAGGCTTTATCCAGCCTGACCTTGAATACTGTCAGGGTTGGGGCATCCCCAGCCTCTCTGAGCAACCTGTTCCAGTGCTTAACCACCTTCAGAGTAAAACTTTCTTCTTCGTGTTCCTGAATTTCCCCTCTTTCAATTTGTACCCATTATTCCTTGTGCTATCACTACAGTTCCTGATGGAGAGCTCCTTCAGATACTGAAAGGTGCTATGAGTTTCTGTGCAATCTTCTCTTCTCCAGGCTGAACAGCCCCAACTTTCTCAGCCTGTCTCAGCCCCCATCCCTCTTCCACAGTGTGATACAAGGGAAAAGCAGTAGCTTGTTGCATGCCACACGAATGGTCCTGCAGACTCACGCTGTGTTTCTGACTCTATGCCCAGGTTCTTACGGGAACATTTATGAAAGCAGCTCGCTGCGTCCCGGACAGTGCTCTCTTTCCCAGGGGAACCTGGCCGTGCATTCCCCTCGATGGCAGGGCAGCTCCTCGGAACTGGACAGCGGCAGGCAGGTCATGCGGAGGAGCCAGACGACAGCCGCCATTCCCGAGTGTCAGTTCCAGGCCGCGGTGCCTCGGGTGTGCAGTAACCCACACAGCGAGGCTGGCTGCACGAGTTCAGACCTGCCCCACTCCAAGTCGGAGCAGCACTTGACTTTGAGCAGTGTGGAGGACCTCAGTGAGCACGACTCGAATGTGGGTTGTTTGCAAAGCACAGCCAAGCCCTCCTACAGGAAAGAGCGGCCACCCCCCCCTTACCCAGGCCCAGCAAAAACAAGCTCTGCGTTGCCGCAGCGGCCGAGTGTTTCTTCAGCGCTGCACTCCTTGTGGAGACTTCAACGCCCAGAGAAAAGTTCGAGAGCAGCTGGGGGGCCACCAGGCAGAGCCCCTGACCAGGCCACCTCCAGGCAGGAGCAGCTGGCCCCGCACACACAAGCGGGTCACCACTATTCCACAGCACCTCACAGCCACAACAGTAAGAGCGTTTCAGAGGCGGACTGGAATGAGTGGCAAAGGGAGAGGTGGCAGATTTGGGAGCTGTTATCAGCTGACAACCCTGATGCCCTCCCAGAAACCCTTGTATGATCTGACTGTGGAACTGCTGCTCATACCCCTGCCTCCGTCTCACAGGAAAACCACGGTGACATTGGAAAACAGGGAGGGCTTGTTTGTTTTATACCAACTGAATTGCATATACTTTTTTAAAAACTTTGTTCACTTTAATTTCTCAACAGAACTGTCAAGCAGTTAATTTACAAATTCCATATGTTCCTGTTTTTCAGCAAGCTTTTGAGAAAAAAACAAGGTGAAAACTTTAGTGTAATAACTCTGTATGCATATGCTGTGTATATGATAAAACTGTTGCTTTGATGTTGCTAAAAATGTATTTATATACCTGCAGTTTTGATGATTGTATATTCTGTAATGGGTATTGTATGATAATCATGTTATGTTTTCATATACAGATGTCAATCAATCATGACTGCTTTTTTTAAAAAAAATCACTGCACTTACATTACCATGATATGCGTTGGAATTCTATAGAAAGTGCACAAGCTGGTTTCTGTGCTTATATATATATATATTAAAAAAAAAGCTGTTAAAGGGGAAAGTTGTACTTCTTTTCACTGCCTTTTGAAAAACACTAAAACAAAGGGGAACATGAAAAGCCATATATTTTATAAGGGTAGTAGTGAGCTTAGAGGGGAGAATACAAAATATTTTTTTCTTATACATATGTTTGCAAAAAACTTTGAAATTTCATACAAGATTGTAAAAGTATTTTTTTTAGATTCTGGTAGGAAGCAGCTCAGAGAATCTAAGAACAACATTGTGCCTAAACCAATGAAGTACATAGTGCAAAGTCTGCCCTCCCATTCTAAAGGAAAACCAATGTTATATATGCAGGATATAATATATATATTTATAAATGTATGATTTTATGTATTGTTTTAAAACAATAAACTGGAATCCAAATTTTAGAAAACCAAACCTAATAAATTGAGATGCATAACACTGAGGAAGAACATGGCTTTTCCTTTGAAATAACAAAGCTCCAGCATTAAGAAAGTGAGAGAAAGGAAAAAGATGCAGACACACACATGAAAAGGAGTCAAGTAGAGTTTCAGAAATGAGCATGACATTTGGAGAAGCTGAGAACTGTGAGAAACTGTGTTTCTATAAATATTGTGCCGAGGCCTGGGTCAGTCACACTTCCTCGGTAGCTGTACGTTGCGTTGTGTTTGATGTTGCTGTTTTATACGCATTGTTTTTCAGCTGCAGAGCCCTTTGTGGGCAGTGGGTGGCAATGTACTGCAGCGTTCCAGAGAAATTCCTTCTTAGCACTCCATAAGGAAAAGTGTATCATATTCAAAAGAATTTTATAAAACATATTGGTCTTAATTTTAATGGATTTGAAGACTTATTCAGTGATGTTGTCTTTAAGCTCTATCTTGTGCCATAATGATGGAATAAAAAGCTAAGTAAAACAATGAGCATATTTTTGCTCCTTTTTTTTTTTTTTTTAGTAAAGTTTATGGGATATTGATATGTTTATATTACATTCTTGAGTGTCTCTATCAAAAAAATCTAAAAGGCATAGGAGCTTAAAGGCCACCTTCAAATGCAGCTTAAATACACAAGATTCAAGGTTTTACTTTAGTTTGAGGCTTAAAATCCATCATATAAAGATGGATTTTATCCATCCTTCCCCTCCTGTCTCCATTTCTCATTGTATCTCCATTTTCCAAGTAAGGTTATAAGATAAAAGCACCAAGCCAAGCCTGCCAAAGGGGCAGGATTTGGACTTTGACTGTTGTAGCTCTTTTTATGCAGAATAAATGTCATTCTCTTTTGGTAGTTGCAAGGCTTTTCCAAATATTGTCATGATATGAGACTCAATAGGAAAAGGTTCTTGTGTGTCCCTTGTTGCAGCAGCTCTGTGTCAATTTATTCCAAAATAAAGGCAGTCCACCCCAAATTGAAATCACTGTGGAATATAAGGAAAGACAAAAATGAGCTCTTACAATCTTTACTATTTCATCTTGTCTCAGTATTATTCCAGGCTTGATACAGATTTTCTACAGGAAACTCCCAAGTAGTCCCCAAAACCAGTCATAGTGTAAATCTTGCTGCAGAAGATGCTGTATTCACTAGATGTCCATCTCTTCATTTTAAACCCTTCTAAATACAGGAGCACCTACACCCTTTCTAGTGAAAGATGTCTGAGGATTACTCAGCATTATGAAGACATTGCCTTTTGCCACTCCCTCTCCCTGCATGTATTTTTATATATATTTATCTGTGTATTACCCTATTCTGTTTATCAACAGAAGATGAAAACAAAAGGCAAGACAAAAGACCACTGCTGGAGGACAGCCTTGTGTGCACACATTTCAATAGATTGTCATGTGGAAGAGAAGAGATACAAAATAAATTCCAGTAAATTAAAGTAATACTTCCAGGATTACATAATTTCTGTAATTTTCATTTGAACAGGGCAGAGCAGAATTATCACAAGCAGGTTAAGAACGTAATTTTTAGTTGTAAGTCTTTCCAGGCTGAAATCAGTGACATAATTTTTTATGCTTTTATATATTTCACAAGAAAAGTAGCCATGAAAGCTTGTTTCTAGTTTTATGTTGGGTTATAGATCTGTGTGGGATATCCCATTTTAGATCTCTGAATGAACCTATGACACAATGCTTTTGAATACCCATAAAACTCATTTTACAGGGAAAGTCTAGAGTAAGGATATTGAATCTTTAACTCTCTTGCTTGGGAGGAGGATTCCTGTCTTAGCAAAGACTGTGGGCCTGTGCTTTAATGAAGAGTGTGATAGAGAAGGCCCTCTGGAGGTCTTGAGGCCTTTAGGCAAACTCAATTTCCTTCCTATCACTTCTTATCACACCACACTGGTTCACATCTAGGATTGTAAATAAACCACTTTCCCCTCCAGGGCTGAGTTACCTCTCTCAGGAGGTGTCTCCCAGCTAGGATGAGGGGTGTGCTGCACTCACAGGTGAACCCAGGAGAGATGGGATGTGGGTGCTCCAAGGACAGGGTGCCTGCAGGTTGCCCATGGGGCAGGGGTTGTGCTTCTGCAGAAACAAAAAAATGCAAGGATTCAGTACAGCTCTAGGTACAAGCCAGATGTGATAAGGAACCTGTCAGCTGGGGGAGAAAGGAATGACAGACTTTAAAACACTACTTTAAAGATTACTGTTGCTGCCGTCTTTTAAAACAAGATGTGGCTGCACTGTTGTGTTGTGCATTCTAAGACCATGCTCCTCAGCTGAAGGGCCTGCACCTTCTCCTTCTTCCCCAGCTTACTATCCCATCCCTTATACCAGCTCATGGAGTGGTGGGAGGAGTTCCAGGGCTTGTTGATCTGGCTGAAACTTGTCCAGAGCAAGGAACACAAAAAATTCAGGTGGCTTAGAGGCTCTCACAAGTGGTGGGCACAGGTTAGGAGGAGAGCAGGACTGGCTCCTCTGCCAGGTGCTCCAGTGAGCCCTGTCAGGTGCTTGAGCAGCCTGGAGGATCCTGCAGGAAGGAGCCCAGCCGAGCACTTGAGAGTGGCTCTGAGATCCACACCTGAGTCAATCCAGCTGCTGCCTTGGGTACATGAATCTTGAGCGCTCTGCTGTCTACACTGGGACCCCAAGGTATGACACCATGGCATAGATAAATGCCACTCAGAACTTCTCTGTTGTTGAAATGGTGAGGTTCAGTGGGCTGGAAATTGTGGTTGTATGGTGTAGGGAGGGAAGCATTACCTGGTTTTTCAGTGGTTTTGTTGTTTCACAGGCATTGGTTGAGGTCAGAAATCTCAATTCCAGCCCTTCTGGAGCACCAGCTTGTCCAGCATTGCTGGTCTGACAGAAGATCAGAGACTTCTTTCTTCTCTGGGAAACACACAGGATGTCTGAGTTTCATCTTGCTCCTCTCTCTCTTTCCCGCCCTTCTTTTTGCATTAATTAAATTATAAAAAAAAAGAAAAAAAAGGAAAGAAAAGAAAAAAACCAGTAGCTCCATTGTGTAATACTTAACCTTACAGAGCTGCAGAGCAATAGAAATGGTTCTCAGTTGCATTAAAGAGTATTTTGACATCAGTAAGTCCTTTTGCATCACTGGGAACTGCAAAGCACTGTTGCACTACAGTTGCTGCAGGGGAAAGTATCTCCAGTCACACAGTGCTCCAGAGACCACAGAGCTATTCCAGGCATGTAGACACTCAGGCTGCTAGGTCATAAAATGCACCATCTCTAAGAATAGCATTAATTTATTTTTTTCTGAAGTGCAAAGCATCACAAAAGGTGGTATCTGCATCTGGAAAAGTAACTCACAGGCTCCCTTTTTATTCAGTGGAAAGAAGTGGGTATTTCTGTACCACCTTGATACAGCCTAAATGTGTCTTTCTTTGAAGGACAGTCTCTTTTGAAGGGCTGGTTACTAGAAGAGCCTATTTTTTCCTGCTATATAAAGGGAGCCTAAATAAGTCACCCAAATATGGTAACCCTCCAAGTTTGTTGGAGTGAATCCCACGCTGAGGGTCTAGTAAAACAGAAGATGGATGGTGAATCACACCTGGAAAACACAGGTTTCCAGCTCCTAGGAAAAGTGAAATTTACCCAGAGGCCTCAGCATTGTGGTTCCTATGCGAACCTGGAACTAGTGGGGCTGGCAGAGTCAGTGTTGCTCCAGGGGGCCTGGGCACAGTCAGCTCTGTGAGAAATACAGGTTTTTTGCAAAGTGAGGGAAAGACGCTGCCTGGTCTGGAATTTCACCTATTTTCTTGTGTGACTGGTTGGTTGGTTTGTTTTTAAGCTGGATTTCTTTATTCATTGAAAACTCTGTTTCCAGATGAAGTGAAAGTGTTTATGAACAGACTATGATTTAATTAATTTTTTCAGTTAAAAATATATATTTATTAAAAAGGAGTATATTATTTCTGGAAACAACCTAATTTGGGCATTTTATATAGATAGCAGGGAGGTGGCTTGTATTGATTCCCAAGTGACACTGCCAAATGGAGACAGGCAGATAAAATCTTCCTTTTGAAAGATGGGTGTTAATTCTCTTTCTTTTGCATCTGGGAAAGTAAATGTCTTTGCCACTGGAGTTTTAGGGTCAGAGAGAAGAGAGTAGGAGGGAGGGAGGCAGAAAGAGGATCCACTTCTCTCTTAAACTGCAGTTGGGAGGGGTGAAAGCATGTGCAGGTGAGAGCAGTATCTCCAGCTGGGTGGTTGTCACACTCTGGGTGAGGACTTCAGCCCCAGACTCTGTGCTCTCTTCTCATGATTATTCAAACTTTTAATAGAAGAGAATAACTTTTAAGAGTCTCTCTTTTGAGCAAAGGGGATATCAACAGACACTTCAATCACCATTTCTTTTTGTTGGATTTGCTCTATTCCATTTCCCTTCGTCTACTTCCAACCATTGCTATGGGCTTTAATTACAAAATAAAATAAAATAAAATGGGCCTGGAAAAAAAACCTCTGCATCATCTTAATAGAAATCCAAATGTTGGCTTTGAAAAAGGCCTATTGGCCAATCAAGGCATCCTTTAGAGTACAGAAACTCTTCAATCATTTTAAGAAAAGACCACCTGACGGGAAGGAGGGAGGGAAGGAGGGAAGGAGGGAAGGAGGGAAGGAGTGAAGGAGGGAGGGAGGGAGGGAGGGAGG